CCGGTTGCGCGTGAATGTGCGTCACATGTCACACAGAGGCAGCCAGCCCCACACGGAGAGAGCGCTGTAACCCTTCCCGTGAGGCATCTGTGACAAATCATGACGAGCACATCCAATTGTGCCACACCGTTCTGTCAGCTACCAATCCTTCCTTCACTTCCTTCCATCATCTCTCCTGTGTGGTGTGCATTCAAGTTTACACAATTTTAAATTGAACGCTGCTTTGTTCCAGCGAAATTAAATCACTCAAATGTTACAGTATTAAAATGTCACATCCACACATCTACAACATAGAAACAAAGTGAATGTCAATCACAATTTTAAAAGATTCGATACGCTACAACAAACCACACCGCACAATGGCAAAATCTTGAAGTAGATTTTCCCAGTGGGTTACGACTAGGAAAGAGCTGTAAAATATACACACAAATTATATTTTAATTCTTTCTTTTCAGGGCTACACACCGCTCCATTTGGCCACTCAATTCGGAAGAGATAATATCTTTGAGCTGCTATGGAATGTCTACAGTAAGTAACCTGAGAGTATAAATGACGATGATCCATCCTATGATTTTTGTTGCTTGCCCAAAGCTAATTAAATGTGTGTTTCCCTTTCAGAGGCCAATCGTGACATCATGGATTGGAGTGGCAACAAACCATTGGACTATAGTCGCCAGCGACCGAGTGTTTCGGCCTCCACGTGCAGCAGTGAGTATCAAAAGTATTTCCTCAATACGGAGGTGAACAACAATTACCACCTCGGAGGCCAGTACTTTGACACGTTTCCATATGGTGCTGGGAACGTCACCGGTGGCACACTGGGCAGTGCACTAACCCGCGGCAAGAAACGCTCTCAGCTGCGCTATGCCACCGTCAGTGGCGGCGGTGCGAGTGGAGGCGCTGTGGCGCGCTCTCAGTCCCTGATGGTGCGGCAGTCACAGCGTCGCCCCAAGAAACCATCAGTGCAATCGATCCTATTCAAATCGAGTCCTGAGGATGATTTGGTGCCCTGTGAGGTGGTGCAGGGTGAAGTGAGTCCCGGATTTGTGCGTGCCGGCACCTCCACTCGGCGCAAAGAGAGCTTTCTGCGTAAAACCTTTCGATCCGCCACCAAGGTTAAAGATATTGTTACTAACCAAGAACACTCTAGCTAAGGGGTGGCCAGTATTTATATTAATATGTTACAAACCACAAAAAACCGGTGAAGGCAGACCCATTATTATTTTTACTACTCTGTCCAAAACGAAGGCATGAATATTAAAAGGATTTGGCTATTGAGTAGCTAAATATCGTTGATATTCCTAATCCATTCCACCAGTGTATTAATGCCACAGCATGATTTGTATTTATTTTGTATTATTTCTTCATGTATAAAACGCTCACAAAAGCGCCTTAAGTCTTAAACCCTAAACCAAAACCCTAAACTAATCTTAAGTGATCAATTTTATACGCATATACACCAATAATCGCATGTTTATTTATTATAATAAAAATACAACAAATTAAGTAGCTGCATTTGAGATTATAATTTTGTAAAATCATCAACAACTCTTGCTAGTAAATTCAGCCGAGATATTACATTAACGAGAATGCGCTTACCCAACGTATTAATACTTTTGTTTTAAAAACACTGATGCTACCTCCCATCATCACAAACAACACTTCGAGACGTAGAGCATGCGTAAATTCGACTTCTACTTAGTTATTAATGTGCAATGGGAAACTCTATTTTATTTTCCATTTTGCTGTATGTAGAGATTCAAGCGATGCGATTCAACGGCGGACTCAATGGTACCTGGAGGCAGGTTGAAAGTTTTAACGATCTTGAGTATTATCAAACTATTACTGTTGATTAAATATCTATTGCTGTTAGCCCTAAATAAATCCGCTTCTGCTTTATCTATCGGCCTGTAAATAAGCTGCTTTCAAAGCTGTTAGCTGAAACTACTTTACTATGTATATATTTAATTTTATTTTGAAAGCATTTTGAGTTGCAAAGCCTGATTGCATTTCTATTGGTAAGTTTTCCTTTCTTATTATTTCATTCTCATCGCTTGATCCAAATTATACAAACTCTTCGTACCTTTCATGCATCTATTTAAGCGTTTTTTGGCATTTGTTTTGTTTGAATGTTTCAGCATGTCGTTCATTTGATCTCTTTAAATGATTGCCTACCATTTAACTAATTTGTTTTTGTTTAATTTTCAGAAATCAAGGCACGAAAAAAGCATACAAGTAAGTCCATTAAAAGCATTATATATCTTAGAGATTAATTGAATTGTTTTACAGTCGAAAAAGATTTGGGATTCCTGCGGATTGGCTCCCTGAATGTCCGGGTAAAGAAGACAACAGAAGCATTCAGCAATTTCTTGGGAGTGGGCAATGGCAGTGGGGTAGCTCCGACGGGCTATGGCAGTGGCGGGGCGGCCACAACAGCAAGTCGCCCTCACCAGCGATCTCACCGACACCCTCATCAGCGTCATCATCACCACGTTGGTACGACACGGAATCGGCATCCGAATCAGAGAGCAGCGACCACACCGTACGGCACGAACTCGAATCCGGGCTCGAGGGCGAGTGTTCCAAATAACCGAAACATCTACGATGTTGTCCACAAATCATGGGGCTCTGCTGACAATATAACACAGCGCACAGAAGCCCTGATGCCACCACCTAAATCTGTGGAAACCAAGCGAAACAAGTCCTCGAAGAGATCATCGTGTGCGTCCAATGCAACGAATTCGCCGCGGGACTCCATTTGCTCATCCAACTCAAGCTCGAATCTAAACGGAGGCTACAGCAGCATGCCCACCACTCCCAACCAGGTGCGTGCCCCCAAAGGAATGGATCCGTCCTTTACAGCAGATTCCGATTCAGATTCTGCCTGTGGATTCGATTCCAGTTGGTCTGTTAGCCATGTCGCTGCTATGAGAAACAATTCATCACAATCCTAATTACATTTCATTTTATGTATAACCCTACAGTATATAAACTTGTACAATTATTACAAATTTGACCATACAATCAATAAACTTATCCATTTTACTCTCGATGTAATCTAAAGTAATGTTCAAAGCTATGTTATACGATTTCAAATTCGATTTAATATTTGCAATTGCGGCGTTTTGGCATGAACCACTAAAACGCGTTAAGACATTTCTCACAATTGCGTCGATAAAACTGTGTGTGGCCAAAACCGATAAATGTAATCGACTCTACACGTGCGGCTAAAGTTGTTTACAAATTGTCAATTCTTAATTAAACCATCTAAAATGGGTAAAAAGGACAAGAATAAGAAGAAGGGCAAGGGTGCCGAGAAAACGGCCATGAAAACGGACAAGAAAAATGCAGCCAAACAGAAGAAAATGCTGGAAAAACTCGGAGAAGTATGAACGAAATTTGATATCTGCAAACTGGCTTTAATTCGTATTCGCATTTGCTTTCAGGCCAACATTACTGATATCATCCATATGCTGGAAGTAAAGGAAGGAAGGTTAGATGGCATCACTGAAGAGGTCTGTCCACCGCCCAGTCCTCGCTCCAACTTTACATTGGTGGCGCATCCCGAAAAGGAAGAACTAATCATGTTTGGAGGGGAACTCTATAATGGAGCCAACATCAGTGTGTACAATGACTTGTTTTTCTACAACATAAAAGCCAACGAGTGGAAGGCATTGCGCTCTCCAGGCGGACCGACCCCACGAAGCGGTCACCAAATGGTTTCTCTGGCCAGCAACGGTGGAGAATTGTGGGTACGTCACACAGCCTTTACCTATGCCAAACCTGTTGATTGTAGTACGAATATCTGTAGATGTTTGGTGGGGAGCACGCGAGCCCATCCCAGCTGCAGTTCCATCACTACAGAGACCTATGGAAATTTAGTCTTAAATCGCGAAAATGGGAAAAGTTGACGGCACCCAATGGACCGAGTGCCAGGAGTGGCCATCGAATGACGGCCTCAAAGAAGCGTCTGTTTATTTTCGGCGGCTTTCACGACAACAACCAGTCGTACAATTACTTCAACGATGTGCACGTTTTCTCCCTGGAAACCTACCTGTGGCTAAAGGTAGAAATTAGCGGTCCCATCATTCCGCACGTTAGATCCGGTTGCTGCATTGCTGCTGCTCCGGATGGCAAAATATTCGTTTGGGGTGGCTACTCGAGAGCGTCAATGAAGAAGGACATCGATCGTGGGGTCACTCACACCGACATGTTTGCCCTGACTCAAGATAGTAAGACATAGAATTATCCCCAAACATTTCCCGAAAGCTATCTTAATCTTTTGTCACTCCAGAAAACAGCGGAGATGCGGATAATAAATACAAATGGGTCACCGTAAAAGCCGGAGGATATCGACCCAAGCCGCGGAGCAGTGTTGGCTGCACTGTCGCTGCAAATGGCAAAGCGTATTGCTTTGGCGGTGTGATGGATGTCAATGAGGATGATGAGGATGTGCATGGACAGTTTAGCGACGACCTGCTGGCCTTTGACTTGACTGCACAATCATGGCGTTTGCTGGAAATCGTGGAAAAGAGCAGTCCTGCTACCAAAAAGAATGTAAAAGAGTCGAATGACATCGAAATGAGTGAAGACAAGGCCGCTCCGGCAGGACCTGTTACCACCACCGATGGCATATTCACTGTCACAGTTGGTGGGCCCAGCACCAGTAACACCACACCCTTCTCATCGGCCATACCCAGTCTGTTTGGTATCAAGCCTCGTGCCACATCTGTACCATCGCCGCGGATGAATCCCGGACTTTGTGTTTGCAAGGGCACACTGTACGTCTTTGGTGGAATATTCGAAGAAGACGCCAAGCAGATGACTTACAATGATTTCTATGCCCTGGATCTGCACAAGCAAGAGTGGAAAGTTTTGATCCCAAACAATCTGAAAGCCCACGACTGGGTGGACAGCGATAGCAGCAGCTCCGATGAGGAGGACAGTGGCAGTGATGAGGATAGCTCCGACAGCTCTGACATGGACACGGACTAAGTAAATAACGTTTACAAAACATTATATTTTCACTTTTGCTTACATATTTACAATGGAATATTGATCAGTTTTTGGTTAACTCTCATAAACAATCTTCAGATGGTTCAAAGCTTAAGAATCTCTGTAAGTATACGCTTCGTGTCGTCTGGAGTGTTCACCTTGTGGCCAATAATGCGAGGATCTGTATAGATTTCATAGTCGTTGCCACCCGGCTCCGTCTTGTCGCCGAAGAAATGGATTTCCTTGTACTTATAATGGGCTTCAATGTGCCGCAGACAATAGGTTTTGTCCCAGCCATGGGGAAAGACATCAAAACTGATTTGTCCGCCTATGCTGTACGTTAGGTCCACATCGGCAAACTCCTCTTTAAGCGTCGCTATCATCTTTTCCCGGATCTTGTGCTCGATGTCATGCTGGGCAAACATGTTCCTCTCCTCGCGCGTGCACTGACGACCGATTGGGCAGACGTTCATCATGCCGTTGCGAAACTCAATGAACGTACCGCGTTTAATGGGCACATCCAGCTCGGACAGGTATCGGAGAACAAAGTTTATGAATCGCTTCAGCACCGGTTCCCCCAGATGCTTGATTATGTTTTGCTTTCCCACTTCGGTGCCACGTTCGATCTGCACCAGCCCGTTCTCGGGGAATATAAAATCGAATTTCGTCAGAATCTTCTGTCCGCTCAGCTGCTCGAACATTTTCTCAAGATCAGAGCCACCAACAATGCCAATCGTCGCCCGGGGTTTCACCTTTGTGTAGAAGAACTCTTCGAATTCCGGCTGCACCACCGAACGGGGCATTGTTAGTGTACCATCCACGTCGAAAAGGAGTAGGATTTCATCGCGGTTGAGGGTTTCCTTGCTCATCTTGGCTGTGCAGTTGATTTTACCATGTAATATCTAAAATGCAAACACCACGTATGACGCTGATAAAGAATAACAAAAACAATTAGTGGGCGGCAACGAATGTATGAGAAATACACTAAAGCTTTCTGTACGCTTTGGAACTAGTTCCACCCTTTTTACACGTCGATAATCCGATAGTTAAAACAGGATTTGCGCCAACTTATATATTATTTATACTCAATTAACATTTAAAAGGTGTATAAATTATACAAACATTAGGTTCATTATATTTATCTAACCAGCATAATTTAAATGTGTGGTTGTTTGGAAACTACCACATCTTGTTCTTAGCATCTGTGGTATAGGTTGTATAAGCACACTTATTATTATGGATATTCGGTCCTTATCATTCCCTTCTCTTAACCGTATGCTGCAGCTCGTCCCTTTTTATTTTGCTGTACTCCTGGAGCGACTTGTACTTGTCCGTGTTGAGCATTGGGTCCAATATAACCGGGTACACCGCCAAGCCAATGGCTCCTACAATGCAGGACACGAAGCCAACGAATTTCCATCCACGCAGAGCTGCCATTTTAATCTAAAACAAGAATTATTATAATTATTCGGCAAAATGTTGTTACAAAACAAAAAACACCTGGTCCCGCCGAAATGTGCTAAAAAATACCAAACGCCACAGTGTTCCGTTGGAATTGTTCATCACTCACCGATAACGATAAATTTCTGGAGCTGGGCTTGGGTGTGGTGTTTTTTTTAATATCTGTTTTAACTTTGTGCCTGTTTTAATTTGTTTGTTTAAATATAACTACGATGGTTAGAGTCCCAGTATGTGCGGCTCTAGTCAGCGTTCTTTGCATCACAGTCGTTTGCGGTGAGTAGGGTTCGGAAGGGACATTCAGGGCGTCATAGCTTAGGGCGTTGCTCGGTCACCACAAACAAATACTCATTAATAAAACTTTAATTTATTTTCTTACAGCACAACATCACTACGATGAGCATAGAACGAGTCAAATCATTTGGTGCACGAAGAGTCTGGAGGAGCAGTATAAATGCCAAAACCTGACTGTTTCCATCGAACGCGACCGCGCACTCTTCGACGAGGCGTTTCTGAATTTAACATGCTTCAAGGCATTCAGTGCTGATGAGTGCATCCACCACATCGATCGTGAAAAGGCCCATATAACCTCACTGGACGCTGGCGATGTCTTCACAGCTGGGCGGTACAACTCTCTGATTCCAATAATGCAGGAAAAGTTGGAGGGCGGCTTTCAGGAGTATCAGTCCGTGGCGGTGATCAAGAAGGGTGCACTGCCCGATGTGACTAGTTTGCATGGTCTGCGAAATAAGCGAGCATGCTTCCCATGGGTTGGCAGCTTGGCCGGTTGGATTGTGCCCATACACACGGTAGGAACTAAACTAATTGCCTGTTTTGGGTGTACTCTCATGAAGGATTCCTTTATAGCTGCAAAAAGAAGGTGGCATGGAAGTTGTGGACTGCAACAACCAGGTGAAAACAGCTGCCAACTACTTCAACAGGTCGTGTGCCGTCTACTCTCTAACTGACAAATACAATCCAATTGGCGACAACTCCGACAAGTGAGTGCAGTGCAGTCAAAACAATTGATTTTTATGTAAAAACAATATAAATTCTCTTACAGATTGTGTACCCTTTGCACTGGCAAGATTCCCGGTGGCCGCTGTTCGTCGGCTGATCCCTACTTTGGCTACGACGGAGCATTTAGATGCCTACTCGAAGCCGGCGATGTTGCCTTCCTGCGTCACTCGACAGTCAGTGAAATGCTGCAGACCCCAGAATTTAGTGAGTACTTTTATTCACCATACAAAGGGCTTGCCCATTAATGCACTTTATGTTTGCTTTTTTAGTAAACTTGTCACCAGACAAATTCGAACTGCTTTGCCGTGATGGACGTCGTGTGCCAATTAACGACTACCGCCAATGTAATTGGGGCCAGGTGCCAGCCGATGCCATTGTAACCTCTTCGGCGCGCAGCTTCAGTGACAGAGCGCAGTATCAAATGTTTTTGAAGCGCATCTCTGAGCTGTACTCGGACGGGCTTCGTGAAAACAGTCCCAACAACCAGGGATCAACCGGGTTTACCAACTATGAGCAGGGTCGCAGCAATCCCTACGATCAGTTTGGCAATCAATATGACCAATCCAGCAATGCCTTTAGCCGAAATCAGAATCCCTTCGATCGTTTTGACAACTCGAATTTCCGCAACGAACGTTTGGACAGCAGCTTCACGTCCGATGCCAACACCCCAGACCGCAACAACGGATCGGTTCTCTATGAAAAGTTCCGCATATTTGATTCGAAACGATACGGAAAGACCAACCTGCTGTTCCAGGACTCGAGCCGTGCTCTTACAGTCATACCCGAAGATGATCAATCCTTCACAAAATATCTGCAGAGTTCCATCAACTATATCTACGGAATACGTGAATGCCCAATACCAGCGATGACCCTTTGCGTGACTTCAGAGCAGGAGCTGGAAAAGTGCATTAAAATGAGGGTGAGTGGGAGAGGAAGAAAGGTCTCTAACAATAGAGATACATTTTTAATGAATTGTTATACTTGCAGACTGCCCTGAAAGCACAGATTCTGAAACCCGAACTCATTTGCAAGAAAATGCACTCCCACATAAATTGCATGCAGTTCATTCAGGCGGGCAAGGCTGACATTGCTGTATTCGATGCCGGAGATGTCTACACAGGTGGCTTGAACTACGATTTGATACCGTTCATGTCCGAGGTGTACAATCTGGGGGAGCCGTACTATTACGTGGTTGCTGTCGCCAAGGAGGAGGATCCCGATACGGAGCTCACCTACCTAAAGGGCAAAAATACCTGCCACACGGGCATCAACACCGCCGCTGGCTGGACATATCCCATGGCCCTGTTCATCTCAAACGGCTGGATTCGACCATACGGCTGTGACTCTGTGCGCGCTGCAGCGGAATACTTTACAAAGTCCTGCGTTCCCGGTGCCATTAGCAGCGAGTATAACACCGGTGTGCCGTATGACAGCATGTGTGACCTGTGCCACGGAACTAGCTACAGATACTGCCGACGAGATGCGTCAGAGGACTACTATGGGCACACCGGTGCATTCAGGTGTCTGGTGGAAGGCGGCGGCCATGTGGCTTTCATGAAGCACACAACAGTGATGGAGAGCACGGGCGGCAAGCGGAAAGAGTGGTGGGCGCGTAACGCCCTGAACGACGACTTTGAGCTCTTATGCACGGACGGCACTCGCGCCGAGATACAGGAGTACAAACGCTGTAACTTAGGCAAGGTAAAGGCCAATGCCGTGGTAACGCGCGGAGGCGTCAACTACAACGAAACCCAGTTAAATGCTTACATCAACCTCTTGACTTATGCACAACAACTGTACGGCAGAAAGGATGTAGATGCCTTCAGTTTTAGCATGTTCTCATCTCCGATCGGACACTACGACCTGATCTTTCAGGATGCCACTCGGCAGCTGCAGGTAATTCCGCGCAATCAGCGCACCTACGATTCCTATTTGGGAAGCGACTTTATGAGGGCTCGTCGCATAACCGACTGTTATGCGGGTTCCTCTCAAGTGGCCCTTTCCATAGGTCTGCTCCTTTTAAGTGCAATAGCTATAATGCTCTAAGTGCAACCCACTCACTGCCAGTCTTAACATCTACATAGACTCGAAGTACAATAATCTCTAGCACAAAAAAAAGATAACATATCAACATTTTTACATTCCCAATACGCATAGTTGACCATTACTATGAGATCGCTTTTGTAGTCCACAAAGGTCATATTATTTTTTAAAAAGTGCCTCGAATTATACAGAAAATGTACGTTTAATGTATGTGTACATAGCAACTAAGTCCGTCCAAAAAAAAGTTGTACCTACCATATACAAAGTGTAACTGAAGATCTGCTCCGCGACAATTATTAAAGAAGGAGCAACGTTTTACAAAGTTTTACAAATTAGTATATTTAATAAATGAAACCTACAACTAAGATGTTCCCTACTTATGATAAGAGTTTTCTAACAGCCTATCCTTCGATGTAGAAATTAAGTGGAAGGAGGTGAAGAAGGACAGGAAGGATTATCTAATCACCCTCACTCTATTCAAATTAACGAGCAAGTTGACGTCATTTGGCGGGCAGCATATGTTTATTGTGAAAAACGTATCGCTTTGCAACACTATTCCATTAAGTATTTGATAGGCTGGCTGATCTTTTTAGTTTTCGTTTTAATTATCCTGTGAAGCAAGGAAACCGATGCACTACGCAAGTAAAAAACTCCACAACGGTGGTCTTCTTTCGACGCCCACACCCTGCTATGACAAAGGCACAAATCACGTTCTCCCGGCAACTTCGCGGGCGACACGGGACGAAAATTGCCATATAATTAAGTTCTGCCGTGTGTATGGTGTCAAGCGGTCCATGCATCCATTATATAGCCCACAAATGGAACTGATAGTTATCCTTCAACTGTCATCGGAGGCTGCATATAAAAAACTGCAGAGGAGCAGCTAAAAGAAACGAAGATACTAGAGGGTGCCTTCTGCCAGACGTTTCAGCTTTAGCGTCACACCACCGTGTTGAATTTGTTTTTGGCTGAGCGGAACAACTTCGTTATGGCTTGTCGATTGAGTTTTCATTGGAAAATTAATTGTGAACACATTTGTTTGGGCTTAAAACCTGAAAACACCTGCGACCCATTTACACGCTAGGAACTGTGAATGGCAACGATTGTCAGCTGATAACAACTGTGGCAGTTTGACCATTCCACTGAAAACGACACCATGCTGGGAGAGAGCCTGAGCCTGTTCAAACGAAAGAAAACTATTTTTGCCGCCCTCGCAGGACTGGGCTTGCTGGGCCTCGTCGCGGTCTACAATTGTGGAGCAAATAATCCAACGGCAGCAGCGCTGCAGGATAAATGTTTATTCTGTGATTTTGCCAATGGACGACAGGGTCCGCCTCCAGTGCTGGAGGTTCAAACTGACGAATATGTGATATTCAAGGATAAAAGTCCCGCGGCAACGTACCACTACCTGGCCATACCCAAGCAGCACTTTGATAGCTTCAGTGTACTCAACAGATCCCACATTGGACTTGGTAAGAGCGCCACGTCCACCCGAAATCTTGACTGAAACATGTACATATGTACGTTTACATGTCTGTTTATAATGTATTCATGTATATGTGTTTGTTGATATCCATCAGTGATGCAGATGGAGTCTGGCATGGTGGAGCTGCTCAAGTCGAAGAACGTGGACCCTTCCAAGGCAATTATTGGATTTCACATCCCGCCATTCATCTCAGTGAAGCATCTGCATCTACATGGCATCTATCCCCCGTCGGAGATGAGTTTGTGGAATCGCATCAACTTCATGTCTTCGTTTTGGTTCAAAACGGTGAGAGAACCCAAAGACACCTGTGTGCATTGCTTTAACTTATTGTTGTTGCTTCCTTTCCCTCCATGCAGGCCAAGGACGCCAACGAAGCGCTGGAACTGAGAGAGTTGTAACAATGGACAACCCCGTGTAAATATCCCCAAAGCTGTGTTTATGTGTACCCTTGCATTTCCAATTGTAAATAGACACATTGTTGCTTTTAATTAGCATTAAGTGAGAAACCAGTTACCTGTGCACGTAAACTATCGTATCGAATCAAGATATCAGTGATAGCAGTCGTACTAATGTCTCGGCCAAAGACTTGTGTAAAAATCACCTCAGACTCGAGCCATTTAATAATTCTACAATATTTTATGTTAAAATATAAAGTTTAATTTAGTTATTTTAAATATTTTTGGGTTATGCTGCCGATAAGTATCGCGAAGCAACTGTATTTTCAGATTTTCTAAGTGTTGGCTAACTCATGCGACTGGTTGATGGCCAACACTCACAGTTGATGCTTATTTTCTTAGTTGGCCTTTTAGTTTGAAACTTATTTTGTAAACAATTCAAAACAAGGAAGTAGTGAAATTTAGCGAATCTTGTGGAGAATTGATTGATAAATTGGTTAAAATTATAGGTTTCATGCTGAGAGACCTAACTAGTTGGTAATATGAAATGGAATATCAAATGTGAAAGTATATTTCTGTCGGCCTGTTTCCTAAGTGTTGGCTAACTCATGCGACTAGTTGATAGCCAACACCAACAGTTGATGCTTATTTTCTTAGTTGTCCTTTAGTTTGAAACTTATTTTGTAAACAATTCAAAACAAGGAAGTAGTGAAACTTAGCGAATCTTGTGGTGAATTGATTGATGAATTGGGTAAAATTATAGTTTCATTGCTAATAGTCCTAACTAGTTGGTAATATGGAATGGAACATGAAATGTGAAATTCGATTTCTGTCGGTCAGATGGTATTTCTTATCGTATCGACAACACATTACTCACAAACTCACAAAGTGAAAAGTGAAACTTGAAAGCTGCTCCGCGACCGGTTAGCGTAATCGGTGTATAAGTATTTAAAGAGATTTTGGGTGCCACCCTACTTTGGACAATTTTGAGTACGCTCGAGGCTAGAAAATGTCGATCAATCTGCGAACTGTTTACGCCTTTGCCAGGGAAATGTACCCCAAAATTTCCACGGAGTACGTGCAGTATGGAACAGCTGGGTTTCGCGGCAAGTAAGTTATATTATTAATGATTAATTAAATCCCCAAAACCCAAATGCAGCATTGGACCCGCACATCTTATGTTTTAATTAAGAAAGTCGTGCATCTGAATACATATACATGTGTACGTAGCTCGGAGCGAATATGTACGCAGATGGTCGTGTCTGACTGGCGGAAGATAAGTAATGCGCTTGCACCCTGTTGATGAAATTCCTATGTATTTATAGATATATTCCACCTTTTATCAATGGACATGCCCTTTCTTGTATGTACATACATTACCTGTGTACATATTTGCACTATATACATAGTTTTCTTTTATGCCCATCAACTATGTGATTCAGATTCATACAAGTTTTGCTGATTTATCTTTTATTTACATTGCAGGGCCGAGTTCCTAGATAGCGTCATGTTCCGTATGGGAGTGCTTGCCACGTTACGTTCTAGATATCGCGGCGGTGCTGTCATCGGCGTCATGATCACTGCCTCTCACAATCCGGAACCGGATAATGGAGTGAAACTAGTCGACCCCAAGGGGGAAATGTTGGATGCCAGCTGGGAGTCCATAGCCACGGACCTGGTCAATGTAAGCGACCAGGACCTGGAGCAACATGTAGCGAAAATAATTAAGGACAATAATATCGACATTACGTCGAGTTCCCATGTGTTCGTCGGCATGGACAATCGTTACCACAGCCCGCGGTTACTAAAGGCGGTGGCAGACGGCGTGATAGCACTGAAAGGGAACGTAAGGGAATTCGGAATTGTGACCACACCCATGCTCCACTTCTTTGTGGTGGCGGCAAACACTAAGGAGGCGTACGGAAAGCCCACCGAGGAAGCATACTACGAGAAACTTATCAGCGCCTTCGAGTCTCTGCGAAATGGTCAGCTAGAGAACGGAAACTATAAGAACAACGTGGTCTTTGATGGCGCAAATGGAGTCGGTGCTAGGAAAATGTTACAGTTTATTAAGCGTATGAATAAGTCGTTAAACATATCAGTTATTAACCAAGGAATTGGACCTGGCAAGATCAACGATGAGTGTGGAGCCGACTACGTCAAAGTGCAACAGCGGCCGCCCATATCCATGCCCATTGTGGAACCTTTCACGCGATGTGTGAGTGTGGATGGCGATGCTGACCGAGTGGTTTACTTCTTCACCAACGACAAGGGCGAGTTCCAACTGCTGGACGGAGACCGCATTGCCACGCTAGTCGCTGGATACCTAATGGACTTGGTAACGCGGAGCGAGATAGATCTGCGTTTGGGACTGGTTCAAACTGCGTATGCCAATGGGGCGTCCACCGATTACATTGTAAACGAACTGAAATTCCCCGTTTCTTGTGTTCCAACCGGTGTTAAGCACCTTCACCACAAAGCCCTTGAATACGACATCGGCGTGTACTTCGAGGCAAATGGTCATGGCACAATTGTCTTTAGCGACCACGCGAAAGCCACAATTGCAACAGCTGCGGAAACGAAGGCTAGTGCCAAGACCTTGCTGCTCCTGATTGATCTCATTAACGAAACTGTTGGTGATGCCATCTCAGATATGCTGCTTGTAGAGACGATTTTAAACCACAAAGGCTGGGATGTTAAAGACTGGATATCCACATACAACGACCTCCCAAACCGACAGCTGAAAATTAAAGTCCAGGATAGGAATGTCATCGAAACCACAAATGCGGAGAGAGATTGTGTCAAGCCGGAAGGTCTGCAAGCGGAAATAAATAAGGTGGTATCGAATTACAAACGTGGACGTTCCTTTGTGCGACCTTCCGGCACAGAGGATATAGTAAGAGTGTATGCTGAGGCTGCTACCAGAGAGGTAGATTATCAATCAGTCAAACAGTTTACAATTATATTACTCACACATTTTTTTCTATGGTTCCAGGACACAGAGAACTTGGCCTACGAAGTGGGAGTACTTGTTCAAAGACTGGCCGGAGGAGTCGGACCGGAGTTGACACAACCAGGCAGTGCACATCTCTAAACCAGTTGATCCAATCTCATCCAAAAGCCATACTTTTCTATTTTTTCCACTAAATTCTCTCACGCAATCAATCTCTGCCTTTATGCGCTCACTTGTAAAAGTTGTCTGACAATAACTTTCAAATGCATTTATATATTTTTATGGTGTATACGTATGTACGTACATATATGTATATGTGTAACCTTTTACTGACTTTTTTTATACTCAAGTGCTATTTTTACCCGATTAATATAAAAATCTATTTATTTTGGCAATATGTACCTGTATTACTTAAGTGTACAATATGTATGACTTTGTACGCGACTGCTGCAGCTCTCCAAAAGGCAGATGGCGATGGGTTCTGGTTCTGCCCTCGGTATCTCATCCCAACATTGAGCTAAATATGGATGTGGAAGTCCAGCTGGAACGCGAATGCCCTCCCAATGCAACCCTTTCCCCGCAGAAGATCGATGAAGGCTGCTGGGCACGTTTTAACGGGAATAATAGGCTAGTTTTGTAAAAATATGTAATGACAACATATGAAATACCAATAAAAAGTGTGGCATACTTTTGGTGTGCTTTGATTTGTTGGCTAACATTTTGAGGTATCTTTTGGGGACTTATTGGGGAATTTGGGAAGTATTCCAAAAGGAAAGTAACTAAAAGTGTGCTACAGTATCTTTATGTGCAAATTCTTAATCTACTCTCCTCATAAAATCATGTTGCATACTTTTAGTTACTTTGCTAGTGCAAAACAATTCGCGGTTTCTTAGCATCCAGCTTTTGACACAGTGAAAAAAACAAGAACCAGCTACTTCCTGCTGATTTCTGTTGGCCTGGTACTCGGTCTGAAAATTTACATTTGAGCGAAGCAGTTCATTTTTTTGTTCACAGTGGCGCCCCAACTATGAGCGGGCAATTCTCGAACTACGTAATTTAAGTTCCATAGTTTTCCGTTGTGAGCGCGAGGGTGCCACTGTGCAACGGACAACAAAAACTTGCTTGTTGTACAACAACAACAACATAAATCTACAAAAACAAAAGGACAGACTTGTTTTGTTGTTTTGTCCTTTATTTGAAGGCCTATCAGGACATGGCAAGCCTCCTCGTGATCGGGAGACTGTACTGGATCGTTTTCAATCCCTTTGGATGCAAGGACATTTAGGATAATGAAATTTTAAGGATGTTTTTAAATGTAGTCGCTTAAACCCTATAACTCGGCTGTATCCTGTAGGATTAGGACATGCCACGCCTTCTCGTGATCGGGACAATGTCCCGGATTGGATGCAATCCTTTGGGATGCAAGGACATTAAGGATAATGCCATTTCAAGGATTTTTTCATATGTAGTCGTTAGATCCCTATAATTCGGCCGTATCCTGTCGGATCAGGACATGCCACGCCTTCTCGTGATCGGGACAATGTCCCGGATTGGATGCAATCCTTTGAATTCAAGGACAATAAGGATAATGACATTTTAAGGATGTGTTTAGATGTTTAGATGAGATGAGATGGGGTGAGATTCCAGAACCGGGCTCCCTGGGACATCTGCGTGTTGTCATGAACAATATGTTCACTAAAATAATACAGGTATGTAAGTATGTACATATACCATATACTAGCGTATACATACATACCTACATAGTTAGCTCAATGTTGAGATACTGTATTGGGTGTACATCTTGGGATTTGGCATGTTTTGGAGCGCTGCAATAATCACGTACAATCCTCATCCTACAATCCTTTGATAAGGAAGACAGTTTTGGCTATCTGAAAAACACAAAACGAGAACAGTTAAAGAGAGTGCTGCTGGCAGTGTAAATATACAGCTTACCTTTTGAGTGAATCGCTGTACAATTTATATACGAAATTCCGGCTGTTTCGGCTTCAAGTATCCTTGCTTTTGGTCTATGTGGGCCAATAGCGCACAAAAAATTCACTCAAGCCGGTGTCGGACGCATGGACCGGCTCGTCGCCAGCATCTTTGAGGATCTCGAGCGCATTGGTTGATTTACCGAGCGCAACCATGGCACCCAAACCATTATTGTGTTCAATCACTTTCAATCACCATCAATCAATATTAATAAAAATAGGGTACACAAAAACACATGCTATGATACACAACCGGCTGACAAAGCAACAAGCTGTCAAATGAGAATTTTATGCTATTTTTTGTAGTTTACCCTTTTAGTTTGATCCATAATTTGTACACATTCCAGTAAAAGGAAGTCATGAAAACTAGCCAATCTTGTGGACAAATTATTGATGAATTGGATAAAATTATAGTTTAAGCACTGAAAATCCTAACTAGCTAGTAATGTTAAATAGAATAGCAAAATCGAGGAAAAGGATTTAAGATTAAGGTATATTTACGGTATGTTTTGAAAAAGATAATGTATATTTCAGTATATTTTTAGGATCACGCGGTATATTTCATCGATAAATCCGCGGTCACATTGTTTGCCGTGCTGTCAACTTTTTCTGATGCAATTTTCCATTTATTAAGTGAATTAAAGTAAATTAAAGTTGAAAAAACAATTAACACTAAAACAGAAATGGACGCAGAAGACGTAAGTAGTGTTAATGCATTAGAGAAAGCAATTAGAATGATTTTTTGACCCATGTACATATGTAGTGTGTACATGTGCACATACGGTACATACATATTTACATATTTGCGTGTGAATTGTACGAACTATTGTTGAGGTTATGTTTGTAAATTATTAATCATGGAATGTTTCATTTTTTTATTTAGGGTTTTGACCCCACTTTGTTGAAAAAGAAGAAGAAGAAGAAGACCACCTTCGACTTGGATGCCGCACTGGGTCTCGATGATGAGGGCAAAAAGGAGGAGCTTCTGGATGAAGCCTTGGCCGAGGCCGGGGAACCCGAGCTGGAAGATAACTTAGATCTGGAGAGCTTTGGTAAAAAGAAGAAAAAGAAGAAGAAGCCTTTCAATATGGATGAAATCGAGGCTGCTGTGCCAACATTTGGATCCGAGGATATTGTGCCCACCGAGGAGCCCGAGGAGGAGGAAATCAACTTGGACATGGACTTCTCCATGGCTAAAAAGAAGAAGAAGAGCAAGAAGAAGGACTTGGATGAGTTGTTTGCCGACAAGCTGGAAGATGACAAGGGCGACGACAAAGAAAATGGTATATCATCAGTGTAAATGTTACCATTTAGATAATGGATTGAACTGAGATTTGCACTTTTTCAGCGGAAGACAACAGTTCGACCTGGGCAGGTTCCGATCGAGACTATACGTATGACGAATTGCTGAAGCGTGTCTTCGAAATAATCCTTGACAAAAATCCTGACATGGCTGCTGGACGTAAGCCTAAATTTGTCATGCGCCCTCCACAGGTGTTGCGCGTGGGCACAAAGAAAACATCTTTCGCCAATTTCATGGATATTGCAAAGACGTTGCATCGTATGCCCAAGCATCTGCTTGACTTTTTACTGGCCGAGTTGGGTACCAGCGGCTCCATGGACGGTAACCAGCAGCTTATTATCAAGGGTCGCTTCCAGCCCAAACAGATTGAAAACGTGCTGCGTCGCTACATTAAGGAATACGTGACGTGCCACACCTGTCGCTCCCCCGAGACAATATTGCAGAAAGACACCCGCCTGTTCTTCCTCCAGTGCGAATCCTGCGGCTCTAGATGCTCTGTGGCCAGCATCAAGTCCGGTTTCCAGGCTGTCACTGGAAAGCGTGCTGCCATTCGAGCAAAAACAACCTAAATATTTTATATTTTCTCTATATTTAACACATACTTTTCTATTGAGTAAAAATTCGATATAAAAGAGCCGGCTAGTTTTCAATTTTGTAGCTCTCGTGCCAATCAATGTAATGATCCGCAAATGCAATTTCCATCTGGCGTGATTTACCTTTGTCGACCAAGAAGGAAGACGCCTCCAAGCCTAATTTATCCATGTAAAAGTTGGGTCGACAGTGTAGAAAAACGCTATTGCCCCTCTGTATGCTAGAGGGGTCTACATATTCCATTGAAGCAGATAGAAGCCGCATCATACTTTCGCATATTTTTTTGTAGCTTTCCTCGCATAACAGCTGTGTCGCCTGGTTGTAAAGAGATGCCATCATCGTCCTCTTCCATATCCTGGTAGAAATGCTCACTTCCAGTGACGCAGTGCTGTCGTCGAGTATGTATTTTCGATATGATGCATGGTGCGGGCATTCTCCGGCTACAAAGGCGTACACGATGCAAGTGCGAAAGTGGCATGGAGCCTTGTTGATGGAAACGGTGAACACATCTTCTCGTTCTGGGTCCCTTGTTACCCGGAGTACATCATTGAGGGCCAGCGGAATGTTATCGTGGATTATAGGCGCACCAGGCTTTGGATCCTCCGTTGACTTGGGCCTGTGTGTGGGTTTTCGAATAAAGAAATTATCCAGCTGGTCCTCGATATCGCTCGTACTTGAGTTTGCGTACATCCTGCCTTGATATTCATTCAATATGGAGCGGAAGCTTACTTGCCTCAGAAGAGTGACAAGTTCCTATAACCTTCAACATATGATCATTCAGCAAATAAGGTCTAACTATTTAAAAACATTAATATAAAATTTAAAAAATAAAGCATTTGGACTTATTAATGTGGCCGCGCGGGTTAAATGCATTTTTTTGCTTGGTATTTTTGGGAATGTAAATCTCTGAGGGTCAGGCGGTACATTTTTTCGATAAATCCGCGGTCACACTGACTGCAGCCGAACGAACAACAAAAAACAATATTTAAAATGTCGAGTCGAGTATAATTTTAACCAAATTTAGAAAATATTCCGTGGATGACACGTTTGTACGCCAGGAACAAGCCGTACAGCCGCCCGGATTGCCGCTCTCCCCCACACACACACACCGCATAAACACTGCAGTATTTTCACACTTGTGGTTGAGGTGAGTGGAGCCGCAGTGAAGAAGGAGGTGAGGCACTCACACATACAGATAGAAAATACAACACTCGAACAGAGTCGGCATCGGTGTAGGCGGACACTTTTTTTCGGCATATGGACGCCCATTGCGATGGATTCCTTTCCGAAATCGAAGGACGCACAAGTTGTACATGTTTTTTTGGCCAAAAACAACACACATTTGCAGTGGCAAAAACCGCTAACACAGCCCCCACTCACACACACACAAGCATACACGTATACTGCGTGTCACGTTCCAAAGCAAAACCTTGACCGATCGGCCCACCCACTGGGAGGCGGCAGCGGACGACACTGAGAGCTCCCCTCCCAGTCTCATAAGTATTGCGCAAAATGAAAAGAAAGCACCTCCCACTCTAGACATAAGTAACTATTGCCGCCCCACCGGCATGGTCAGTGCCTCTTAGTCATGGCGCTAGTTGCGACACGTAGAAAGGATGCCAACGCCGCAGCCGCTGCCAGTCGGCAGTTGCAGCTGCAGCCTAATAAAAATAGTCATTCATTCCTACGGATACAGACGAGACGAGAGAGCGCGAGAGAGAGGAGCGCTCGGAGCGCATATACGATATAAACATTAATAGCACTTTCGCTAAAAATTCATCGCGGTGCTGTGCTCACAGAGTCCACACATCCAACAATCCATCGACTATATTCATTGAGTAATCCGCCCCGGGTTCAGGGCATTTGCAGTCTCCAAGGGAGCTACCAGAACCAGCCACCCCCAATCCCTTTTCAGTCGTATGTTCTGTGACGATAATCGTTATCAATATAGTTTGTGATTACTTTCTGAGCTATAAATGGTATGTACATTACACATGGAGTTACGATGATGCATCCAATGCAGGGCTACGGCAACGTATTGCACTCGTATAGGCGGGCTATTCGCGAACGAACAAACAGAGTCGAGTCGGAACTGAACTGCCGAACTGTGGGGCGCCGGATTGGATCGTGTTGGGGATAGATAGAAAATATATCTTTAAAATCGGCCAGTACACGCGTGAACGATGTCGTGCGTTGACGGTGCTTCTTAGTTCGTTTCGTAAAGATCTCGGAGCAATCAGAAGACGGTAAACATCGAGTGTACATATAATACAGATACATATGCATACATATCTATGTATGTATGTATTCTATTCACACAACATTGCCGCGGACTACTCCCAACTGAAGTTCCTAAGTACAACGAGGAATCGTTCTAAAAATAGGGCCGACAATCTGTCGGGTGCAGTGCTTTGCGTAATGGGGTATCGCAGTGTGCGGAATGAAAGTTTTTAATTCTCCAATATGTAGATATGACTTGTTGGATTGCAAGCCAAACGTATATGTATTCATGGTACTGCTGCAACATAGAAGTGATTTCCGGCAGGCGAGACCAACCAGGCAGGCAGGCATATCTCTGTCGTGCCCCAAAAGATTTCACAGTACCCAAAATAGTTTCAAAAATAGCACAAATATATGCAGGCAAGGCACACCACGCTTTCAGCTTTTCCTGCTGTATAGCCGTATATAAAATAAATGCGAGTGCGAGTGTTCATCGTCGATAAGTCGCGATATCATCGTTTCTGTAAAACTCAAAACACACAAAAAACATTTGCCGAAAGATCATCGTCATCATGTAAATAATGCTGAGAGGGACGGCGGCGGCGGCCAAAAAGTGTTGAAAATTCGAACCCATTCTGATTGATCGTCAGTCAGGCAGGAGGCAGTACGAGTTCTGCAGATCTTTCTCTCTGTCTAGCGCAGGAACCTTCGCATTTACAAATAGCCAGATATACGCGTATTCAAAACGACTGCTCCCAACGACACAGCTTTGAATATTTCTGTTTGCTGCTTCTTTTACTCGGACTTGGCTGCCTTTTTCCGTCCATTTCGATGTGTCGCTGGTCGCTGTCGCCGCCGTTGATTTTATTTTTAGCAGTCAACGATTTTTTCTTTATTTTGATTTCTGCTGCTGCTCGACGGTATATTAGCATTTTTTGATCCCCATCTCACACTTTGCCTTGCCTCGGCTATATGTCGTGTTTTGGACCATCCATCCAACATTCAACATGTGTTTGAAATAGCAACCACATTTATATTGCCGATTGGCGTGCATCCACTTGTATCTTTCGCTCTCGCTCTCTCGCTTTAGACTGCTGCAATGTTTGTGGCTATTTTTATGCATTGAAATTGGAAAAACATTGCAAATATTTAAAGCAGCAAAGTGCTTTGGACGTTTTTAATTAGATGTTGAATAATTTCAATTACATTACAGCAAATTTATCCACAAATAGATTCAATCCGAAATGTAAGCTTGCATCGATACCTACACGTTGTCAATCGATAATCGATCTACAAGCTACGATAACGTAATCCATGATTACCGCTAACTCTACGCTTTACGTTGGGAAATGCCCAACAGCTTTTGCCAGAACTTTTGGCATAATTCTATAATTATTATTTACAGTATAAATAAGTCATTTATACATACCCCCCGCCAGCCTCCCCCACTGACACTGCGGACAATTTGCGCATTGCCGGAATATTCGACCAAAATATTGGTACAACTTCCGCTACAATGTGGAGGGGAAGGGCAGGGGCTGGCAATGCCGCAGCGCCACAGGCTGTTCTGTTCGGTTCTGTTGTGCCCAACAAAGAAGCAAACGGAATGGAATGACATTTGCCTCCAAATTTATGCATTCAATGGTGGCAGTTATGATGACGCTAGTCGAAAAATGAAGGCACCAGAGTGCCGTGCCGTGCTGAAGGCGACGTTCCGGAATAATCTTTGCGCAGGCATCCTCCGGAGCCAGCCAGCTACGGGTCTGGCCTATGATTGTTTATGAAATTCCGCTGCGGGTTAGTCATAATGTCGATTTTGGAAGGCCCGGGTGGTGGTGGACGGTGGGTTATATATGTTGTATGTGGTGGCGTCGCGTACAAATAAGGCGCGAAAAGCGTACACCCAAGCACGTCAATGGATGGAGGCGATGATGATGCTGTAGGTGGAGAGTTTTCTTTTTCTTCGTTCTGTTGCTTTCTTTTTTGTTGTTGTTCGATTGAGGTCGAAAGCAAGAACATTTTCGTGGCTTTCTCTTCCTTATTTACGTTCAGCAGCAGAAGGCCCGTCATCATCATGACCAGCAACTTGGCAGGGGGTTGGAATGAGTTGAAGCATGTCAAAGAAGTGAAATGACAACTCCTTAGGTTACCTTTTATTTAATTTACACAAATAAATACGTTTCAAAATTGTAACTCTCTCCTTTTCTTTTCGTTTGCACTTGCAGGACTTTCCCCAGCTTTTTGCTTGAATAAAACCCAGGAGTCACGATATGACGGACACGAAGGAGCAGTGCACCGTTTCTGTCTTCGACCAGACACCAGGCTCGGAGCAAAAGAAGATCAATGTGGTGGTGCGGCCACATTTCACGGTCCAGCGTGTCATAGAACTGATTGGCACTCAGTTTCCCTACGGCAAATTTGAGCTTATTCTGCAGCCGCATGATGGCAAGGATTTAGTGAGTCTCCCCTCCCCCCACATACCCATAGCTACCCCGAAACGCCTGCTAATCTGCCTCTCCTTCTGTCCCCCCAAAAGGTCCACCTAAACGCCCTGGGCACTCAGCTGCTGTACGATGTGAACGGCTTTGAGCACAAGCTGAAAAATAATCTGGTCCTGCTGCCCTCTGAAAGCTGGGATAGTGATGTGGCCAAGCGCTTCGAGCTGCCCGTAAAGAAGGCTCAGCTGTTGCTCAATCTGCGCCCCAAGGATCCAACCGCAAAGTCCAGCGATACGAAGACCAAGACCTCAGCCACAGGGGAGAAGAAGAAAAAGGTGGGCGAGAAGACAAAAAAGAAGTCATCATCGGGCTCATCGTCCCCAAGCAAGGCCAAAGCAACGAGCGAGGATTCTGCTAACAGCACCAAGGCAGGGGCAAGCTCGGAAGAGAGTCCAAAGGCAAATGGAAGCTCAGAGGACAAGCCGAAGGAAAATGGAAGCCCAGAGGACAAGCCAAAGTCAAGCTCTAGGTCAGAAGAGAGTCAAAAAAAAATCGGCGGCTCAGTGGAGAGTAAAAAGGCTTGCTCAGAGGACAAGCCAAAGGCCAGCTCCACTTCAGAAGAGAGTCAAAAGGCAAGCTCCAGCTCAGAGGCAAAGTCTAAGGCAAGCTCCAGGGCAGAGGCCAGGCCAAAGACCATTGCTGAGGTCAAACCAGAGGTCGCTGCTGTTAACAGGCCAGAAGACAACTCTGACATCAGTCCGGTACACGCAAAGTTAGTTTTCAATGAGAAGGATAAGCAGAAGGCCTTCAACGATGCCTGCTACGGACTGCCCATGGATGCGCTAAACAAGGCGGTGGCACATGATCTAATGTCGCCCGTCGACGATTTGCCCTCGGAACTGTTCAACGTGAGTCCCGTGTCGGACGCAGAACCACTGTCGGATGATGATCTGGCCCTGGGCGCCTCGGCCAGTCCCACGCTGATGGGGCCCGGCTATGAATTTGGACCAGCAGTCGGTGATGGCGAGGGGCCGGTTGGTGAGGGTGAGAAGGCATCTAGCGGGGCAGATGCAGGCGAGGTTCCGGGTCTGTCCAGTTTCTATCGAAGCAAGTACGGAGGCGAAGAGCTGCCCTCGTGGCAGCGCATGAACTCCACGGCGGCAGAGCTGGTGGCCTCCGCCACAACGGAGAGCGAGTCGCGACCCACTGCTGGACCCAAGGGATACGTGGGTTTGGTCAATCAGGCCATGACCTGCTACCTGAACAGTCTACTGCAGGCGCTCTACATGACGCCCGAGTTCAGGAACGCCCTGTACCGCTGGGAGTTCGACAACGACAACGTGGCGAAGAACATCCCATATCAGCTGCAGAAACTGTTCCTCAATCTGCAGACATCGCCCAAGTCCTCGGTGGAGACGACCGATCTGACGCGAAGCTTTGGCTGGGATTCGACGGAGGCGTGGCAGCAGCACGACATCCAGGAGCTGTGCCGCGTCATGTTCGATGCGTTGGAGCAGAAGTTCAAGAACACCAAGCAGGCGAATCTCATCTCGAACCTCTACGAGGGCAAGATGAACGACTACGTCAAGTGTTTGGAGTGCAATACGGAGAAGACGCGCGAGGACACCTTCCTGGACATACCGCTGCCGGTGCGTCCGTTTGGCAGCAACTCTGCATACGGGAGCATTGAGGAGGCCCTGCGCGCCTTTGTGCAGCCAGAAACGCTCGATGGCAATAATCAGTATCTGTGCGAGAAGTGCAAGAAGAAGTGCGATGCCCACAAGGGTCTGCACTTTAAGTCCTTCCCCTACATCCTGACACTGCACCTGAAACGCTTCGACTTTGACTACACATCCATGAACCGCATCAAGCTGAACGACAGGTAAGCAACGGTGGGATCTACGACCTGCAGGCAATGTAACTTAATGCAATCTATTTTCCATGGCACAGAGTGACGTTCCCGCAGAAGCTCAACCTGAACACATTCGTCAATCGCAGTGCAAACGGCGAGCAGTATCAAATGAATGGCGGCACAGCGGCAGAAGATTGCAGCACAGCGGATAGCGGCTCCACGATAGAGGATGATAATCTGAGCAGCGGCGTGGGGACTACTGCCAGCTCCAGTCAGCACGAGAATGATCTGAATGACGAGGACGAGGGCATCGACATGAGCAGCAGCACCAGCAAGAGCGCCAAGCAGGGCACGGGACCGTATATGTATGAGCTCTTTGCCATCATGATCCACTCGGGCAGTGCCTCGGGCGGGCATTATTATGCCTACATCAAGGACTTTGACAGCAACGAATGGTTCTGCTTCAACGATCAAAATGTGTCCTCGGTAAGTCGTAAAAGTTCTCCTCTTGCAGTCGTTCAGCTTTCATGTAATTTATACTCTGGAAACAGATCACACAGGAGGATATTCAGCGCTCGTTTGGAGGACCCAATGGCAGCTACTACTCCAGCGCCTACACCTCCAGCACGAATGCCTACATGCTGATGTATCGCCAGGTGGATGGCAAACGCAACGAGCACACCGCCAAGATGGCTGACTTCCCCGAGCACATCAAGACGCTGCTGCCGAAGCTGCATACAGAGGAGGAGACGCGCGTGACACGCATTGGCCGTCACATCACTGTCACTGATCTGGCGCTGCCGGATCTGTATAAGCCGCGCGTCTACTTCTACAATCCCTCGCTGAAGAAGCTGAAGCTCACGCGGGTCTACTTGTCACAGAGCTTTGACATCAAACTCGTGCTTTCGTCGGCCTACGAGATGTTGAATGTGGAGCAATTTGCACCCATTGAACGGTGTCGCCTGGTGGCCTACAACTCGACCATGGACACGATAATCCAATCGCTGGAGAGCTACACCGATCCGGCACTGGCGGAGCTGCGGGCCGCACACAATCACAATCTAGACTTTCTGCTGGAGTACCGGGCCGAGGATCAGACATTCGAAACTTACGCGCCGGATGGCACCACTTGGTATGTGTTTATGGTAGATCTATCGACGATGGCCATGGACGGTCCCTTCCTGGTTTACTCAGCAGCGCGGGATCGAGAGCCCAGTGACCATCTGCGTCACTCCATTGCCACGCGCCTGCACATCAACGAGCAGCAGTTTCTGCTCGCCACCTGTCGCGGTTTGGTGCCCAAGGCTTTTGTGGTCTTCGATCCGCATCCGATGCCGGAGGCGCAGCAGCAGCTACAGAATCTGGTCAACAGCCAGTTCAAATATGTCACATATTTCTACTTGAATGTCCCCAACACAGATGCCGCCAGTCTCGAGATGTTGGGCGTGCCAAGCAGCGAGTGCCGCATCGAGGTTAGTTCTGCTTTCAGCTCATCATCCCAGAGCGTTGCCTAAACACTCTCTCTCCCTTTGCAGCCACCGCCGCCGCCGGCCAGCAACGGGGCGGATGTTGTGGATGCTGCCATGTTGAACGGCGTGGGTCCCGGCTCCGGGCAGGAATTCTCCAGCAATGACTCTGATTGGCGGCGCTACAAGCGGGACATGCTGGAACCGCTGAACCAGCCGAGCCATGGCCAAGAGTCCAATTCGGAGGACAGCAGCCTGAGCGATGGGGATCGCACACTGGTGGAGAGCGACAACATACAGAATCGCGGTGGTGGCGACAGTCAAGTGAGCTCCACCAGCCACTCACCGCAATTGTCTAGTCCCGAGGATGAGGCCGCCTCCCACGATGCCATGATGCGCGTGCACGCCTACTGCAATGGCAGCTATGCGGCCGCGGATGCCGTGGAGCCCATCATGCTGCCCACGAGCACAACGCACTTCTTCCACGCCTGCAAGGTGGAGTGCGTGGATTTGACCAGCAGCTCCAATTCGGGCCATCAGTCCGATGACGAGGCACAGTTAAGGAAACCCACCCGCGCCTACAAACTCCTCGTGGGCAAGCACATGCGGATGCACGCCTTCAAGCAGCACATCGAGCAGCTAATCCAGGTCCCCAGCGCCTACTTCAAGCTGCAACGGAAGTACGAGAACAATGACACCAACAGCCAGAGCACGGTAGTCCTACTTAACGAGGGCGAGACCCTCACAGTGGAGCTGGGCAAGACACTGCAGTCGGATGAGTACAAGGCAAAGATTCAGTTCCTGCGACTCGCCGATGTGGACAATGAAACCTCACGGCTGCCCTGCGCCTGTGAGTGGGTGTTCAACGGCAGCACCACAGTGGAGCAGGCCAAGCACGAGCTGGTGGAAAAGCTGCATCGCATGGATGCCAAGTACTCGACCCTCACGGTGGACAATTGTCGCATCTGGCTGAAGGGCGGTCGCAGCTCCATCAAGATACTGGCCAACGATGAGCCTATGTTCAGCGACATAAGCTCCACAGTCACCACGGAGGTGAGCTCCCCAACGATTCACTCATTGAATTTGTAATTATTTTTTGGAATTTCCTTAAAGTTTATTGTGCAAGAGTGCGAGGAGGGTGTCGATCCGCAGCCCAAGGATGATTCTCTGACCATATTCGTGAGGCGATGGTGTCCCAGCAAGCTGGAGTTTGGCAAATTCCAAGAAGTCACATTGGAGAGTAAGTTTCAGAGCATGAAAGAGGAGGATGTAGAAGGAGGATGCTCACACGTTTAATTTCATTTGCAGAGGACAGCGAGATAAGGGAGACATTGTCCGAGCTTAGCAGCATCACAATAGAAAAACTGAGCTACATGAAGGTAGGAGTTGTTTATGCCATAGTTGAACTGAGTTTACGCCTTAATTTGTTTTGATTTCTTCTGCTACAGGTCAACAGTAACTTCCCCTGCACAAGCATATCAGCACTCAGCGTGAACGAGTCCACCAGCTGGTACTCGGTGCCGACAACCAGGGACAAGTATCCGCTAAGCAACACACAGGCGGGCAGCATTTTCTTATACAAGTTAGTAGCGAAATATAGAGAGGGGAAGGAAGCACTTAATTGTTTTATACCTTCACAGAGATAATAGCATACCCGCGCGAGAGCTGACACTGGAAGAGCGACGCCAGATGGATAGCAGGGAGAAGGCTCGCCTGGATCGCCTGGGCTGTGTCACCACCACACGCTACTCGCAGCGACGCGAGCGTGCGCTCAAGATCTACGTGGACTCGCCGGAGAAGACAAACAACGCCACAGCCTCGGCGCCCATGGATGCGCATGTCGATAATTAGTCTTGCATGGGAAGCTGCCGCTTGCACTAGTAGATATTCAGCAGAACTATAAAATCCTCCTATAGATACCAGCTAAGCAAACGGCAGACTATTAAATCCCACACAACCTGTTATAGTCAAGGGTCCTCCTTCTCTCATCCTGCTTCAGTTCTATTATCAGCATTGCCTACGCGTATTTCTTTCGTTTTATGTCAGCGGGGGAGGTCCAGCTGGGGATGGTGGGGAGCAGTTACAAAGTTATTCTTGCAAATTTCGTACTAAAAGAATTCAAAGATGAGACTGTGTAAAATTTCAACTAAAAACGCAAAAGAAAATGCCAGATGCAAGAAACCTAAATTCATAAATTGTAAAATGTGAATGTGAACATCAAACAAAAAAACTAAATTAAATCGTATCAAATAAAAACAAAACAAAGTCTCTAGTGCATTTATTCTGCAACTGCTAAGCTAGGGAGTTGACTGAGTGGAGCTTGAAATCAATAATTGAAAACTTGCAATAGGAACTTTCTGGCCAGCAGCACCAGCATTTTGGACACAAAAAACACTGAGCTCGCAATAAGAAGTTTCTGGCCAGCAGCACCAGCATTGGCCACAAGTGTTAGGATTGATAAACAATCGAAAATAGTCAAATAATCAACAACAAAAAAAGTCAGAGATTGCATTTATCAGTTCTTTTTTGTTTTGTTTTTGTTTTATAGAAAAATTTAATTTTATTTAATACCTACTACGCAGCGTTGATAACGTTTTTTGTTTTTGTTTCTTGAATTATATTTAAAGATCATGTTTAGCGTTAAAATTGTTACAATTTGACGACAGTTCTTGCATTATTCGTTGTAAAACCGATCAAACGAAAACGGTCACAGCACCCGGGCGCACGCGTTACAATAATAAAGTTTATATATGAAAAAGAGGTAAAAGTAAATGCGGACCCAGTGGTGGCTGCACCACTTTAATGCTGTAAGGAGGGGGTAAGGTAAGGTCGGGTAGGGTAAGGAAGGAAATGCTGATGGTTTTCCCTGGCGTGTGTTTGTGTACAACAAAAAATAAAACTTCAATCTGTTCGCCGGTGTTTTGTCAAAATTGGGTAAGTTATTCATTGGGGGGTTTACGAACGAAGGAGCTGCGGCAGCTGTAGGCAGCAAGTTTGTTGTTCTCGTGGATGCTCATCAGGTCGGTGCTCTATGCCTTGGCCTCAACGGCCGCCGGCGCGGAATCCACTTTGGTCGCCGCAGCCGATGCCTTCTTGCCTTTTCCCTTGCCCTTGACGGGTCCCAGTGGCTGCTCGACCAGTGTCTGAAATGCGAACGGAACATTAGATACGATCGAGATGGCGTGGTCAGCGATATAATCTTACCTTCAGCTCTTCCTGCGCAATGCTGTACTCGCTTGCGAAGCTGTCCACATTGAATGGTATGCCGGTGACCAGGTTAACGCCATTGGGCATGAGCAGAATCGTGTGCTTGAACTGCGCCACAACCTCAGCTGCAATGATAAAGGTACAATTATAGAGAATGTTCTTGAGTGAGATTTGATTGTGGCAATGGCATGTTCAGACTGAGGCCAATTCGAGGCAACTGCTGAAGACGCCAAAGCTTGGGGTTTGCTCTAGCAAAATGTCTGGCCGTGTTTGATAGCCAAAAGGTAAATCAAATCCGGAATTAAGTCTTGCCAATGAATAATAAAACAACAGTTGCCTGTGAAACTTACTTGGCTTCTCGTACAGCACTTGGAAGGGCTCAATCATCTTGTGTGAGACACACTCGACGACGCCCATGCGTGCCTTGGTCTCCTCCTCGAAGCTGCGGATGTTGAAAGGCATGTTCCCGTACTTTGTTTTCACCTCTGCCAGCAGGGCACGGGATGCCTTCAGCTTAAGCATGTAGTTCTCTTCGGACTTCTTGTAGATTGAGACCTTGGTGTCCTTCTCCCGTCCCTGCAACACAATTACAGATTCTTAGCCAACATAAAATCGTGTGAATCGTATCGGACTCTCCGAGTCCCATTGCGTTCTCAGATCTCATAATCTTACAATCTCTGGCCAGCAGCCAGCGCAGCCTTGCCGCTGGTCACGTGCCAGGCTTACAAACCAAAGCCCGCCGAGCGTACAAGACGCTTACATGACATGACGCCTTAGCCTTGCTTGGCCAGCCTCAAGCGCGTTCTTTAAATCATCGAACAGATGGGTGGGTGTTGCGGATTAGAGGATTTTAAAGGATTACTAACCACGCCCTCGCCGCTGCTCACAATCACATCGATGGCATATACTTCGTACGTGTCGAAGGTGCACTTTTCGTGCTCCTTGCGCTGCGCCTCGCTTGGATTCTGTATGATTGTCTTCTCGCCATCGATTTTGAACTGCTTCAGCTCGTGGCTCAGCATGCCCTCAATCGGCTTGCACTTATACGATTCGCTGATTTGTTGCACGGCATCGGTGATGGCATAGTTCTGCAAAAAGAAATACCAACAATTAATAAATGCGCTTCATGTAACACAGATTTAGATGGTTTTGTTTAAGATTGTAGACAATTTTAAAGACCGAACATTTCCAGCAAATAAACTTGTTCAGTTCACGAAATTGACAATTGATATCTGCAGGCGTTTTTGTTGTACTGTGCGAAGGGGCCAAGGCAACAGCCATTTAGCTTTGCCTGCAGATGCAGCAGAACGTTTGTGCAGCTGAGCTGGGAAACACTTACATTAGCGCCGGACTTTAGCAGCCTCAATGCAGCCTGAACGGACCAGTAGGCGGCCAGGATGACATCAGCATGGCGTCCGCTGATCTTCTGATCTGCGCTGGCACCAACCACAATTGTGTGAGCGGCCACTGCGATGAAGCCATCAATGTGAGCGCCCAGGTCACTTTAGAATGAAATAAAATTATGGTTAAGTTGGGTGTAGGAGAATTTGACATTTCTTGTACATACATTTTAACGACATCGCCGGCCTTTAACGTGTGGTCGGGGTCGTTCTTGGCTGGCGAGAAATGGCAGACACAATTGTTGACGGACAGGCATGTTGGGAATGCGATGCCCTTCTTCAGGTCCTTTTCCTTTTTGTATACCTAAGGGAAATCTGTCCTTATTAATCCTGTACAATCAGAGTGCAAAACTATTGCGCTGGCCAATATGTCCTCAGATCTCATAATCTGCGAATCTTTGGGACCAATGGCGAGAAAGAATGCCCGCGGCACGTGGGGGACATATTCCCGCAGCGTGCGCCTGGCGACCACGCGGCCGCCAGCCTCCCAGAACACGCGACTCGCATTGGCTATCCTCAAGCGTGTAAGTTTTAATCATTGGACAAAAGGCAAACGGGCAGTGGAAATTTCCAGTGTGAACTTACTTTGCCGGTTTCTTCAGTCAGCAGATTGTCGCCCTGGGTGCAAATCTCCCTCACGGAGGCATCAGCCACGCAGAGTCCGATCACCGCCTTGAGTGTTTCTAAAATTAAACAAAGGCAAATGTCCAGAAATAGTCAGATTTAGCAACGTTGCGCCAGCAACGTGAGGTGCATGTGCGTGGCAGCGCTACAGCCACAGCAGCAGCCAGAGCGAAAGCGCACATTGGGGGAGCATTGTGTAAGCGCCACGTAGCGACAAAACACTTTCACTTTGCGAATGAAAGCCATCACTTACTGTTTACGATTTCGCCGGCCAATTTGTACTTGGTAACAACCAAATCCTCGGCAATAGTCTTCTCGGGTTGCTCCTTTTCTGCGTCTGCCATGGTTAAGTCAACTTAGAGTAATTTAAAAATGGCGACTTTAAATGAAAATGCGACAGTGACAAACCACGTGTGGTGTGACCGAATGTGAGCCTCTACAAAAATACCACTGTCAGTGTAATCCCATTATTGTGGGTACGTTTTTACGACACAAAAATAGTAGAGTCAGAAAAAAATATACTTTTGCACTTTTGTTGCACTTCAAAATGTAGCAAAATGTAGCTAAATTGATATATTTGAAATGGCCTACATTTTGGTAATGGTAATTTAACACACATTTCCACAAGTCCTAGTTAAAAAAAATAGCTTACTTGCCATCACTTGAACACACAAATGTGTCGTGCACAGCACTGCAAAAACCAGTGTTGACTAGGGGTCAGAGTTTCCTTAGATGCCAGTCATCTTTTTGTTTTTGTCGGTTTTCCAATTTTTGCAAATAATTAATTATTAAGATGGCAGTTCGCGTTATTAACGACGAATCACAATTCCAAGCTGAATTGGCCCAGGCTGGGGTCCGCCTGGTGGTGGTTGACTTCACGGCCACATGGTGCGGTCCATGCCAAAGAATTGCACCGATTTTCGAGCTGTTCCCCAATAAGTATCCAAATGCCATCTTCCTGAAGGTGGATGTGGACAAGTGCCAAGACACGGCCGCCGGCCAAGGTGTCTCGGCCATGCCCACATTCATATTCTACAGAAACAGGACCAAAATCGATCGAATTCAGGGCGCAGATGTCAACGGACTGGAGGCCAAGATTCAGGAACATATTGGCACCAGCAGCGGCGAAGAGGCCGGCGAAGACTATGGCCAGGGACTGGTAAGAGCATCCAAATACGCACAGCAAATGAAATAAAAATTAACAAAACGCTTTACCTGAACAGATGGAGCTCAATACATTCATTTCGAAGCAGGAGTGCGAATGCCTGAATGAGGCCGACGATCACAATCTCAAGCACGCGCTGGCCTCAGCCGGCGGCTACTTGCAGTCCGACTGCGATGAGCAGCTCATCCTATCCATCACTTTCAACCAGGCCGTCAAGATTCATTCGTTAAAGTTCAAGGCTCCGTCGCAGCTGGGTCCCAAGGATGTGAAGTTGTTCATCAATCAGCCGCGTACCATTGACTTTGACATGGCCGAGTCCATGAGCAGCGTTCAAGATCTAACGTAAGCGCGCAGGCAACTCCCATCTGTGCTTTATTTTAATGTCTCCTCTCCCATTGCTAGCTTGGCCGAGAAGGAGCTGGAGAATGGCGCACCAGTCAATCTGCGCTATGTGAAATTCCAGAATGTACAAAACATACAAATCTTCGTGAAGAACAACCAGTCGGGCGGCGATGTGACACAGATCGATTATATTGGCTTCATCGGCTCCCCAATCATGACAACAAAGATGAACGACTTCAAGCGTGTCGCCGGCAAGAAGGGCGAAAGCCACTAGGACAGTCCGCCCCTGCCTAAATTTAACGTTTTTCCAATGTTTTTGCGGCATTTCTTTTTAAACTTTCGACTTACAACTAAGCAATGTACATCAAAAATGCATAAAGAATCATATAAAAACGATTTAACAATTAATCAATTCCACATCCCACAATATATCCCCTGAAGTAGTCACAAATTTAAAGGCTGCTGCTGTGATGCGAGTCCAGCTCACTGTTGAGCATCTTCCAGGTTCGATCCGCCTGCTTTTGGGTAAAGTCAAAGTCCCACTGCGAGCTGAAGATCACATGGGACTTGGCCACAATTTCATGGTTTGGCATCTGGCTGGACAGCCGCTTTCTGGCCTCCTCCTCGCTGAGGCTATTGCGTTTCATCACCCGCTTCACGGCCTCCTCTGGCGGCACTATCATGGACCACACCTCGTGGCAGTTGCTCTCCCAGCCAGCGCGCAGCAGCACCGCTGCCTCCAGCACCACCACCTTGGGCACCACGGTGCCAGCTCTCAAGGCCTCCAGCCGCCTGTTGACCTCCTCTATCAGCTGCGGCCACACAATGCCATTGAGCGCCTGCAGCTCTTGGGGATTGCCAAAGACCAGGGGACCCAGCTTGGTGCGATCGATACGACCATCGGCAGAGAGAATTCCCTTCCCAAAGTGTTGCACGATCAGCTTGTAGCACACCTGACCCGGCTCGTACACATCGTGGGCCACCTTGTCGCAGTCTATGACATGGGCGCCCATTTTGCTCAGCCTTTCGGCCATCTTGCTCTTGCCAGAGGCGATGCCTCCGCTCAGGCCGATGATGTACGGCCGAGCAGGCAGCTGAGGGCGTGGTTCTGGCTTTCGCCAGCGCGAGCCCAGCAGATCGATGCGCGTATTGCTGGAGCTGATCTTCGTTTCGTGAATGCCATCGTGGACATTGCTCTCCACGATGTCAATGACAAAGATGTCCAGCTCACGGAGCTGCTTGCCGGAGCGTAGTTCGTTGACCTTTTGACCGCCGCGCAGAGTCTCGGCGCTGACCACGATCATGTCCAAGTCCGGATCATGCTGCGTCGGCCCGAAGGGGTCATCGATGGGCACAATCTCGTACTGCAGTGTGCTGTCAATGTCCGTGAGGAACTCCCGCAACTGCGCGATTCGCTCCTCCACGGGTAATATCAGATCAGGCAAAGTCTTCGCTGAAGGTGAGTGTGAGATAAGAAACTATTGCCGACTCATTCAAAACTTACACTTTGTCATGGCGGCTGTGGTGACGCCTACCACCAGACGCTTGCAAGTGCGCAGCACCGCCTGCGTGAGGAATATCTTGTGGCCGAGATGGATGCGATCGAAGGTTCCCCCCAGCACCACCGAGGGATACATTTTGTGCGACTCCGTGCTGTCCTTCTGCGGGCTCAGGTCCGATGAACTGCTGTCCTCCAGGAAGATAGTAGGCTGGCTAATGTTCAGGGCAGCCCGCAGCCTGTCACACAGCTCCGGATGGTGGGCATCCGAGAAAATCATGTCCACGGGCTTGCGCAACTTTAGGGGTCCGTCAACGCCTGGTCTCAGGGGCGACACAAGCACCCGAAGATCGATCTGATTGCCCACATAACTGCTGCTGTTGGCATACAACTGAGAAATCAAACGACCCCAAACGGGCGGAGCAGCAGCCGATGAGTTGGACGTTGACCCTGCCACATTCAGGTGTATGTACAGTGAGCTGACATATTTCTCAATGCTACGCAGGGATTTTCCCAGGTGCTTAATGTTGGAGACTACCAGCAAGCCCGTGGATGCCATCACAATTTGTCTGTCAAGTTTCGTTTAAATTATGTTATCACTTATCGTTAAAATAATCCCCCCCACCCACAAAACACACAATAATATACCGAAATATACCGTTTCATATTGAAAATAAACCGTAAGAAAGCCGAAGAAAAGGAAAAAACAAATAGCGCTTTTCATCCAATCGAAGCATGTCAATCTGGAAATAAGTCATTATTACTTCAAAATAGCTTGTAGATCAGAATTTGAACAGCTTTCATAGGAAATAGTCATACTCCACAAATAAGTAGCAAACGTGTAGTTACCACGTAGATACTATTCACCTAAATTAACATTGCTATATAACTTTTTGGCTCACACCCTTTTTTAAAAACCATCCCATCAAATAAAGTCCTTAAATTTCAACAACCATGTAGAAAATTGATTCATCAATTAAATAAAATTATTTGTTTTGTGCTAAAAGTTCAAGTTAGTTAGTAATATTAAATCGAATATCAAAATTGTGGAATATTGTTTTCCTCGCAGTATTTTAGAAGTGCAAATGTATATTTCGGTATAATTTTGAGGGTGAGCCGGAATTTTGTCGATAAATTAGCAGTCACACTGGTCGGAAGAAACACGAGGGGAAGGAATCGTCATTATTTTTAAAAGGCAACTTTTCGTTTCAAAATGTGCTCGAACTATTGTTGAAAAATTTCCAATTTTATTGAAAATGTCAAGCCGGAACGAGTTTTGTTTAAAATCCGCCTAGATCGAAGCGGAACTTCTTTCCTAAAGCCCTAGAAAGAGTGTCGGAGTGTGTGTGCTAGTGTGCGTGTGTCGGTCGTCCGCAGTCGGTGAGAAGCAAGGCAAAGAGAGAACCAGAAAAGTGGTAGCGATTGTGGCAGCGCGGCAACGAACCTCTGTGAAGGACGTGTCGCGGTCGGAGACGAGACAGGGGGCTGGACTATCGTGGCGGAGGATCTGCAAGGATCTCAAATGTGCCGCAGCTAACCGAAGCCGACAGCATCACCAGAGGCAGCAGCCATAGAAAAGGCGGATGCTGTTCATTTCACACCTCCCCACCGCCGCCCCCATTATTCTCAGCCTTATTCTTGGTTATCACCCGTAACCGTAGCGACTTTGAGTTGTCCCAGGAAGCGATAGCAGATATTCTTCAAAATTCCTCCACAAACACCCACGAGCAGCAGGAGCATCGCCATGCCCGTTTCAATGGCTGTATGCGAAACGGCGAATGTCGTCAACGCTGCGCTCCGCGAATCGCTTGGCGTCGGGAACGGCAGCAGGGCTGCTGACGAGGCTATAAAGACCGGCAGGGGCGGCGGCGATTCAGACTCTGAAATCCATAATCAGATTGCTGTCAGTGCATATGCAAAGCGGATTTTGATGTCCAAAATTGAATACGAGGAGGTACCCAGCTACCAAGAGACGGTGCTGGAACAGCTGAAGAACAAGTACATCGTCATCAAGCAACCCAGCAACAGCAACAACCACAGCAGCTGCAACGGGAGCAACTTTGGCAACAGCAAAGTTGTGGGAGCAAATGGACACGGTGAGTAGCATTGAAGACGATGAAGAGAAGGAGGCAGAGAAGTTGCCCCAATCGCTTAGCTTAGTAGTTGATTTTCTCAGTAACCGTCTCTCTCTTGTGCTTCTTTGTGTCGCAATTTAAAAAATTTTCCATGTGCGTCTCTTGCTTTGGCAGACGGAGACAAACATACGCAGAAATACATGCATATGTACATACATATATTTTATGTTTATTTTAGCCAAAACTATGGCCAGGTCAGAGGAATCACGTGTGTGTGGTTTTTCCGCTTTAATTTTTACAATCTTTCTTGGCTTTGCTGCAGTTTGCCGACAGCGGCGCCGGCGGAGCGGCCAACGCAAGCAGCATACCTGTACTTTTTGTTGCGTGCGTATACATTTGTGTTTGTGTGTGTGGGTGTGAGAGAGAGTGTGGGAGAGAGATTGCGATTGGGTGGTGTACGTGTAAACAGTGTAAAAAGAAATGTGAAAAAGCAAAACAAGTACAACACCGCAAAGAGTGAGTTGGACAGGCAGTCAGCAAGGAGAGGGGAGCGCAAGAGAGAGCTTACTACGCTAGTTCTGAATCGCCGGATCGGCCGCTAAAGGTTGACAAACATGAGAATACAAAAAAAACGTGCTGCCGTCGAGGCAAACATCCGCACGAGGTGGCGGCCCCCTCTCTTTTGCACACACACATGGGCTGATTTTGTGCTAGTATTAGTACTTTTATTTTTTTCTTTATTTTTGGCAAATGCGGCGCTTATTTCTTCATTTCAATTGCGTTGAGTATTTGAATGAATGGAAGAAAAGTAAAAAAGCAGTTTGCGAAATGCGTGAATCACTCTTCTCTCGTATCTCTTACACGCACACATACCCACACCCACATAAGTGCTGACTGGCGTTCGCTCAGCTGCCTCAAGCAGGAAGTTGATACAAAGCCAACACAAGGCGACGCTGTAATAAGATGAGGTCTGGTCTGGGTCTGGTCAATGCCTCAGCCTGGCCAACAAACACAAAGGGGAGCGGAGCACTGCCGTTCCGTGACTACAACATCCACTGTCAAGTCGCGCCAAAAATTGAGTTGGCAACACTCGTGCTCGTGGCATTCGATGTGCATAGGCCAGAACGGGATGGCACTAGTGTCCGCGTCGACGCAGTGTCTGCTTCTCTAACGAGAGGCGAAATGCTGACACTCGCTCGCTGTTATCAACCATGGCACACCACACAGGTGACCAAATGTGTGTGTGAGTGGTGTGTGTGTTCGTGTTGCGAGTGTGTGTCAGCAGTTTCCACAATGAGCGAGAGTTCGCCCCCCACCATGCGATTGGCGGTGGGGCTGCTGGTCTCCCCTTTTTGTTCGCTTTAATTTTAGTAACAAGCAAGCGCGGAACGAGTAAAGAATCTTGAATGAGGAGAGTGCTCAATGCATTATGACTGTGATAATTGTGGACAGTTTTGGCCTGTGGCTGCTCTACAAACTGCTCCTCGTGCCAATTTTCTTCGTTCTCTGGCGTGTGCTCAATCAATTTGCTGATTTTTTTACAGAAAATAACGGCAATAATGGTCATCGCAAGCAGTCGCAGTCCCAGTCAGAGTCCAATCAATCGGGTCCGAATCCCAACGAGCTGCCCAAACCGAAGCGTGTCCTGTATCCCCGGGAGAACATCAGGATCGGGTGGAAGCAATCGGAGCGCAAGTGGCAGGTCGGCACGGGCATGATAAATGTGGGCAACACCTGCTACCTCAACTCCACGCTGCAGGCCCTCTTCCACATACCCGCATTGGCCAACTGGCTCTACTCGGAGCAGGCCCATCTGGAGAACTGCAACATCACCGAGTCCAATGGCGGTTGCATAATCTGCGCCATGGCCAAGACGCTGCAGGCGACACAGTCGAATCAGTCGGCCATGCGGCCGTTCCACATCTACTCGAAGCTCAAGCAGATCTGCAAGCACATGGTAGTGGGGCGGCAGGAGGATGCACACGAGTTCCTGCGCTTCCTAGTCGAGGCCATGGAGAAGGCGTACTTGATGCGTTTCCGCAACTTCAAGGAGCTCGACCAGCTGGTGAAGGAGACAACGCCACTAAATCAGATATTCGGTGGCTATCTCCGAAGCGAGGTGCGATGCCTCAGCTGCAGCCACGTCTCGATCACCTTCCAGCACTTCCAGGACCTGCTGCTCGACATACGCAAGTCGGACACGCTCGAGGAGGCGTTCGACGGTTACTTCTCCAGGGAGCGACTCGAGGACATGGGGTACAAGTGTGAGGGCTGCAAAAAGAAGGTGAGGCAGAGGTGTACTCATGCACGAGGTTGATTGCTAATCCAATCTCTTATCCATTCGCAGGTTTCGGCCACCAAACAGTTCAGCCTGGAGCGGGCACCCATCACGCTGTGCATTCAGCTGAAGCGCTTCTCGATGATTGGCAACAAGCTGACCAAGACGATCAGCTTCAAGCCACGCATTGACCTGAGTAGGTTTGCTGCCCGCTCGCCGGCGGCTGCCGCCCAGCCACTCACCTACCGCCTCGTCTCCATGGTCACCCATCTGGGAGTTTCGCAGCATTGCGGCCACTACACGGCCATCGGTCTGACCGAGCCGGGCAGCTACTACAACTTCGATGACAGCTACGTGCGCCCCATTGCCATGCAAAGTGTGTGCAACACCAACGCCTACATCATGTTCTACGAGCTGGACCTGTCCCAGAGCACGCCGCTCAAGAGCAATGGCATGCGGCTGACCAATGGCCATGGACCAGTGGCCGTCCCGGCCACAGTCTCCTCATCCACACCCACGCACACACGTTTCATTGGCCCCCAGCTGCCGCCTGGCGGTATCAATGGGTATAGCAATGGTCATGCCAGCAGTCCAAATGCCCAGAAGACTGCCATTCAGTTCAAGCAGCAGCATCAGCAGCAGCAACAACAGCAACAGCAGAACGGTCTCCAAGTGGGGACTGGAAAGTTTCAGGAGTCTGCCCACGCGAAGTCTCCACTGGCTGGCTCATACAATAAAGGCGAAGCTTCTCCAGCTACAACTGCAAATGGTAACAAAAGTTCCTCCCTCTCCGCCAGCAATAGCAACCACAACAAATTGGTGGTGAGCCAACAACAACAACAACAGCACCAGAACCAGCACCAGCAAAATTATCTGCCAATATCCTCCGAAGAAGAGGACAGCGAAGACGAAGCGACGGCAAAGGCCAGGCCGACGGCACAGCTGCCCAGCATGCCCAAGATGTTGGAGGATAGCATCAGCATCAGCAGCGACAAGCCAAAGACTCCGTTAAAGGTCCCAGTCAGGGCGAACCTCGTGAAGAGTCCAGTCAAGACGCCACTCAAGAGTCTGGTGCCGTACGAGTCTGCCTCCGAGGAGGATGAGCCAGTGCCGAATCCACGAAAACGTCGCAGTGATTCAGATTCTAGCGACTCGGACAGAGAGTCGGGCAAGATCAATGGTCATGCCAAGACGAACGGAGGCAGCCTTACGAATGGAAATGGCTTGGGCAAGGCCAAGTCTGTTCTGCCTACATCCTCCTCAGCCTTGGCCTCCGCGTCAGCGCCCGCCGCTTCGTTGGTAAACGTTAACAGCAGCAACAGCAAACAAAAGACTGATGCGATAGACGAGATATTCAAGAGCCTCAACAACTATCAAAGCAAACACAAGCCAACATCGCCAGCCGACGATGAGGATAGCGATGATGATGATGATGAGGAAGACGCGGAGAACAATAAGCTCACCAACGGCTGGCAGCCACAGAAACAGTCACAATCGTTGTCACAAAACAAAGCCCCGCCTTCACCCAAGACGCCACCCTCGCCGGCTGTCATTAAATCAAAGACGGGCATCTGGAAGGTCACTCGCAACGATGATAACAAAGATGAGGATGAAGACGATGATGATGACGATGATGAGGAGGAGCAGGTGGTGTCAACGCCAACGCCAGCTAAAAACCATCGCAATCCCTTTGCCAAGTCACCCGCAGAGTCGCCCGCATCCACTGGCGCCAAGCGGCAGAAGCTGCTCAATGGCACCGCTGTCAAGACGCATCTGTCACGCGTGGGCAATGGCTACCAGAGCGAGGCGGCAACCAATGGGAATGTCGTCAACGAGCTGCTGAAGCAGACGCATCGCGGCTACGGCTCCACCTCCGTGCTCAGTTGGAACGGCAAGCCAGCGGAACTGGACAAGGAGGTGAGTGATAAAAATAAGAATTTTTTTAGAACTGAGCGGCTCTATGGCTATACCTAAATCATCTACTAACCAACCCTACTAACAGATCCTATATACAAAATCCCAGAAAACGTAATCTCTCGTGGTGTCCCTTCTGATTTGATTTTTCTCTCTCCCATTTTCTCTCTTTCCTGCATGCATTTATCACTTTTGCTATTGATGTGTGTCGTTTGCATATCTAATAAAACCGAAAATCTCGTTTGTAATTTTGCTTTCCATTTGTTACCACACCGTTTTGTATATCCCCCCGATTTATTTAGACTTTTGTGTTGGTTTGTGCGAAACGGATAGCTGGTCACGGTCATGTGGATGTGGATGCAGATGGTAGCGGCGGCAACGAAGGCGTCGTCGCATCAGCAGTCAACATCAGTATCAGTATCAGTGGCAGTGGCAGTGGCAGTAGCAGTAGCAGTGGCAGTAGCATGGCAATGGCAATGGCAACGACAGTCGCTGGCGCAACCGAACCGGATACCCACCGGTAGGAGGCGCGGCAAATCCTTCTCAATACAAATACGAAAATGTATAGTCCGTGATTGCTTTGAAGTTATCCTATCCAGATCTTCAATGCGCTACCCCGCAAATGGGTTCTAGAACGTAGAACGTTGCCTGTGCCTGTGCCTGTGCCAGAGAGCTGCGGCCGAGAGCTTAGGTAATTCACCCAAAGCAATTCCCAGTCCCTTAAATCTCCCTTTGGTGTTTGTGTGTGTTTGTGGTGTGTGCAATGAAGCTTATGATTTGACTGCTGTTGTGTCCTGTTCCTCCTTAAATCCAGAGCCTCAGTTTCTTTTGCCATAAATTTAATCGTGCCCGTTACCGTTTTGCCAAATAAACTTTGAACTTTAAGCCATTTACTGCTACTTGAATCCCATTTCCATTGTTCTTGTTAACGTTGTGGCGTGGCTGACTCATCTGCATAAGCTTCATTACAGCCTGTTCTGCCCTCATCCGCGAAGCGAAGAAGTAATTATTAACTTAATTTTGATTCCTTTTTTTTTCGTTTCACTTGGATAGCTGGTGGCGGAGGCGCGAGAGCAGAGGCAGCGCGACCACGAAGATGAGGAGGAGAACGAAATGGATCGTGGACGTCAGCGCAAGGTGAAGTCCGCCACGGTAAAGGCCAGCAACAGCAGCACGCCCGGCTACAATCCATTCCAGGAGATGGAGAGCCAAAAGCGCTGGCACAAGTCCAGCAATGGCGGCGGCGGCGGTGGTGGTGGCAGCAATCCGCGTTACCACAATCAGAGCTATCGACACAATTTCCAGCAACGCAACAAGTTCAAATTCCATCGGTTTAGTGGACCTGGCAGCGCAAAGTTCCAGCAGCAGCGGGGCCTGCAGCGCCATCTGGCCGCCGGTGGCGGCTACAATCGTCGCCAGACGACGGGACAGCAGCAGCAGCAGCCGCAGCAGTCCTCCTCCTAACTGCCACTTGTGGCGGATGAGGATGCAGGTGCGACTGGAGCCTGTGCATTTGTTATTGGATTTCGATTGCGAGTTCGGATGAGTTTTTTAAACGTTTTTTAACTGCTGATTGAACATGTTTTAGGAGTAGGACTTGTAAGCTATAAGCTAGAGCATAACTGTTGCGCCACCACCCCCCTACCCACATAGAAAGCGCCCCCAAACCCCTACCCACTAAGCCAGTCGTATGATTATGTTATAAGAGAAAAGAGAATTGCGAGATATCCCCTTCGTATGGCATTTTATATATAAATATATTTATTGTGTTCTGAAAGATTATCGTTCGGCATATGCAGCAGCAGCATCTTAAGAAAATTATCGCAAAATATTTATAACAAAAAGGAAAGGCTAGCCCAGCCAGCCCTAACCAAATTAAAGCAAAACAAACACAAAAACAAAACCACTTAAATACTACGATATAAACGAGCTGCAGATGATGATGGAATAAACAGCAAACCAATATAATTTTAAGAGACTAAAAACCAACCCCAATTGTACATAGAATAACAAAAACAATGAGCGTTTAGATTAAAACCACAGTGAAACTTGATTGTAATTTTAATGGCGCGCCCTTTTATTTATACTTTTGAAAGAGCAAAGCAGAACAGCGGACACTACGAACGTTTGATGAGCGCCGCACTACCACCAATGTTAATAAACCCCTCAAAATCTACGCATGTTGGACATAAATTATAGGTACATATTTAAATATATAATACAAGTATGAATATATATGAACGAAAGTGTGCAAGGAAAAACGGCAGGAGATGGCGTCGTATTAGAAAAATTATTGTAGGAATTAAAACAGTTTATTTGATCAACTAGTGTGTAATAGTAAATAAACCGCAAAACAAAACTAATATCAATCGTCAGGTTTTAGAGAACACAACTACTAGGGCTTAGTCACCACCACGCTGACGTCGGATATCCTTTTTGTTTAATTTGCGGCCCTTGCTGTAGACTGTCGGTTTGCCCGCACCGTACTTGAGCTTCTTGCGCTGATGCTTGGGCACACTCTTGATGGTGCTGTTGCGATCCCGCTTGGCCTTCTTCATGTTCACCTGCTTATCCAGGCGCTCCTTCTGCTTGAACACTTTGCTCTTGTGCATCTTCTTCAGTGTCTTGGTCTTCATCAGCTTGTCGAGATCTTTTTTGCTCCTTATGTCGGGGTCCTCCGGTTGGGCGGGTTTCTTGGCCTTTGGTTCCGATGCCGCTGCAGCAGGTGCATTTCGTTTTTTGCGCGCATTTGGGTCGTAGTCCATTCCAGGTATCCGATCGGGCTGATTTGGATCCTCCTCCTCACTCTCCGACTGGTTTTCTTCCTCTTCGCTCTCCTCGCCCGTGTTGGCACCGAGCATGTTTCGTTGAGCCGCCAGGTCATTGGTGGTCAGCTCTACAATTTTAACCTGAACTTCGTCATCTTCGTATGTCTCTTGCTTTTTTTCCTCGGCCTTGTCCTCCTCAGTGAGTTCTTTCAGCGGCTCGTAGGACTTCTTCAGATGCTTGAAACCCTCCTTAACCTCTTGCCTGATACGTATCCGCTCGTCTTTGAGGTTCTTCGCCAGCTCTGCCTTGGCGCGTGTGCGGCGCTCGTTCTTCCGTTTTCGGAAGCCAGTCAAGAACTCTCTACGAAAGCCGGCATTAGGATTGTTTTCACTGCGTTGTTTCAACTGATTCCACTTACTTGCGTTTCTCTGCATCAAAAACAACTTCAACTTTTTTCTTGGGGGTCTTTTTTCTGGCCATTTTCAATAATTTGTATTTGTTTACCTCGCTGGCTGCAACATGTGCGAACTCCAGTGCTGCATAGTGTGATATTTCATAAACGATATATTTTTGCTATCGGTACTTAGACCAGCAAACGACTACGCTGCCACACTAGAACATATCTTTGTCTCACTCACACTGCAGACTTTTCCCATACGGTTTATACACCTCCGTTCCTTTGTATTTATTATTTTTAAACTTTTCAAATCGCATTTCGTATATATATCACATGATTATATGTTCAAGTTCAACAAGTTCTTCTAAAGAAGCATTAACATTACACAATTGTATGCCTAAAACTATGGATTTTCGTACAACACTACAGTCTACAACTACACTAAATATATTTAACGATATATTTTCTTGCCATATGTATCTGGATTTCCTGTTGAGAGAATTGATATATGTATTGTTTTTTATCGTAAATTCATTGCGTTTCCATCGATCTTCCTTCTTTTTGATCTTCACTCATCGTCATAGTCCAGCACAAATAGTTTCTTGCGCCGAAACGACGATGTATCAAATACTTTTGGCGACGAAACATTTGCATAAGGACTGTCGAGTTCCAGTGTCGGAATGGTTTTGCCCAGAGAACTGAAAGGTACGGATAGTCTTACTAAACATTCATCACACTCCACGAGCAAGCTCCTACTCACCTTCTCCTGGACTGGTTGTGATTCAGCGGCGTGGAATTGATAACATGCGGCGTCCCATGATGCGACAACTCCAGTGGATCGTCGCCGGTTAAAAAGTCCGAGGCATAGCAATCCCGATTGGCTATGGGCGTGGATCCAATCAGCTGATATTCGAGACGCGGCACTGCGGCCAGGCATGTGCTTGGGGAAGATGGTGCAGGCGTGATGGTGGGCTGCGCGGGAGCGATCGGCTTGTACAGATGCAAGAGCTCCAGCAGGTAAAAAAGACATCGGTAAGCAAATGACTTCCAATTGCAAACTTTTCCATAGACAACGCGACGCGACTTGCGGAAGCTCCTCGACTAGAAGAGTATAACAAATTAAATTAAAAGATTTCTTTGGGAGTCTCTAGACGATTTTATACCAGTTTATCGACTGTTATCAAAGACTTTCGATTCTTCTGCATTTTCTGGAGCTTGGGGTGTGAAAGCAGTTGATCTGTGGTAAGCCGATCCGCCGGATCCGGCATCATCATGGACTTGATGACCAGCTGCAGCTCCTTTGAGATTTCTGGACAAAGATAAAAGCATGGTTTAAACACCGTGGATCTTCTAATGGATCTACTCACTGTCAATGAAGTCCTCGGGAAGAATGCCCCGACGCAGCTCATGCCAGAGCGGTCCATTCGAGGGCAGGTCCATGTAGCAGGCCAACTCCAGCATGGCGATGCCCAGACTGAACACATCCGCGGCCTTTGAGAACTGGCCCTGCAGAATCTCGGGGGCCATGTACCGTGAATCGCCCTCGGTGGCATGCTGGGTGTTGGCTCTGTCCACATCGATGACGAGGCCAAAGTCAGCCAGCTTGCACGTCTCGTCGTCCTCGCCGATGAGCACATTGTCCGGCTTAATGTCTAAATGGATGAGATTCCGATCGTGCAGCGATTTCAGGGCACGCAGGAGGTCCAGCAGGATGTGCCAGATGCGTTCCTCGGGAATTTGATGGCAGCGCTGCAGATACTGGTCTAGGCTCTCGCGGCACAACTCCATCTGCATGTACAGGCGATCGTACTGCTCCCAGGCCCGAATGAATCGGATGCAGTTCTCGTGGTCGGAGAACTCCTCGTACCTGCGCACCTCCTCCAGCCGCTCGGCCCTGTACTGCTCGCCGCGGAACATCTGCTTCGAGATTTTCACTGCGTACAGCCGGCCGTCGGATCGGTCTCGCACCTGAAACACTTCCCCGAACGATCCCTCGCCCAGCTTGGCCAGACGCTCGAAGCACAGCTCGAAATGGCTACGATCGTCGAAATCCGTCGAGCTGCTGACATCGTGCACATTCGGCGATGCCGGCAGTGTGTTGGCATCCGGAAACTCCACGCCCCGAAACGATATCGCATGGGCGATGTTTGAGCTGTTGTTGGCACTGCAGGATCCCAGCGACTGGCTGCGATTTAGATTGTTGTTATCCACGGCCACGTACCCGCCCTGCGACACCCGCGGCTTGTACTTGGGCGGTCGGAATCGGTTGCTGTTTTCATTCCCATTGAACTGCTTGTGTCTGTGTTTGTCGTCTCGCAGTTCAGGTAGCGGTAAACGATGTAAATCCATATTTTGTGCGATTTCGGTGTTTTTTTTTAATGCGTATAAAGTGTGGCCATATCTGCCAAACAGAAATTCCCTCACTTGTGCATTAAATAATAAAACATATTTATATTCGATTGGCCAAATGCTTGCAAAGGCTTTAATGATATTAAATTAAAATAATAATGAAATAATACGTAAATAATTAAAGCCGCATCAAAGTTTTTCACACACTAATTTGGAGTAGGATATAAGAATGTCAAATTGGGATGCTAAAACGATAGGCATATACAAAATAAGTTATCGAGTCGCTTTTTTGTGTTTTTGAAATGTCCATCGAGGTGGGTATATCCCTGAGGATATCCTCAAATTGAGGAAATTTTGGAAATCTCAGGCTCCAAGCAATGCAAAAACTAGCCAACCTCTTTTGGAGAGCCATTTCAACGATCAAGATATATTTTGTGGGTGCACAAATGCCCATACTATACTACCGTTTGAAAAGCAACAAGCGATCAAATGACGTAACATTTTTCATGCCCACTCACGTAACGTTTTATGATATTTATTTTTGGTTGACCTTTTTAGTTTGATTCTCATTTTGTAAACCATTCAATAAAAAGAATTCATGAAAAGTAGCCAATCTTTTGGGAAATTTATTGATGATTTTGATGAAATTATAGTTTTAGCGCTGAGTATCCTAACTAGCTGGTAATATTGAATGGAATAGCAAAATCGAGGAAAAGTATTTAGGATTACGGTATATTTTTGGTCTAGTTTTTAAACTGAGAAGGTATATTTGTTAGGGTCGTGCAGTATATTTCATCGATAAGTCCGCTGTCAACTGCTATATATGCAACATTAACAAACAAAACAACATTAACAACAAAATGGTTAGCAGAGGCATAGAAAGGTTTGTATTTACCGAATAACATTCGCGGCGTCAGCGCCGAAGACTACTCAAGACGCCTGCACGGCCAGCGAGTGCAACGGAGTTCTGGAATCCATCGTAGGGCACCTGGTCTGGTTATGCAATTTGTTTCGCGGCTTTCTTTATTTATCTGCACCAAACGGACAATGGCTTCTGTGGAGCGGCAGCTGTGATGCAGTCGGGCACTATCTCGCGCCTACGCCGCGACCTTAACCTTGGCAGCGACTGTGGCCACGGCCACGGGTGCAGATAACCGTGATTGATTCTCTTGTTTTGTTTCCACTTGCAGTGCGAGCAAAGTGCCGACATTCCATGTCATACGGGAGGTGTACGATAGCTCCAATGCCCACGAGCGCTTCGAGGCCGAGCTGGAGAAGGCGCTGGAAGCCAAGGTAGACTTTATTATCATCGAGCCGCCTCGCCTCGGCGACGAAACAGGTGAGCAAATGGAACAAGAACTTAAACCATTCATTGATTCATTCCCTGCTTGCTGATGATTGACAGGTCGCTGGATTTGGGTTGGCAATTGTCTGCACAAATCGGCTGTGGCCACCGGAGCTGTCTCGCTGCTAGCCAGTTTGCTGTGGCACGACAGGCCCATTGTTGCGGCACCCATCTGTGCGCTCTCACTCTTCTGCACGGGCCTGTACACAGTTTCCTGGAACTCGGATCCTTGTTGTCAATATCAGGTGATGTTTGTGTCCATTTATCATAGTGATTGCTAACCAACGACTCCCTACTGCAGGTGGAGAACGATGCCGTACTGGAGAAGCTGCCACTAACAGATGTATCCTCGCCTGTGATCCTGGGCTTTGCGCCCAATTCAAAAACCAAATACTTGCACCGTGGCGTCACTTTCCTGTCTGCAGCGCTGTGCGCTTGGCAGATCTGGCGGTCATACAAGTAGAGGCCAGGCAGCAGCATGTGGGGATTAAACAATAATTAATAAGTTTATTTTAGGCACCTAAGCGAATGCATTTGATTTAGATTTCCCCCTCGTACCAGTAACCAGCAACCAGTAGCCAGTCTTGTGTCTTGTGTGACACACACACACACACACACACACACACACACACACAAATTGCATGTGATTGAAAGTGTAAATTGTTGTAAAAGCATCGTGTAAAAGTCTCAGTTGTTACCAGCGCCATGCTCATGTCTTATTTTCGACGTATGCCCACGATAAAAGTTGGTCTTTTAAATGAGGAGCAGAGTCAGTCCATTGTTCGGAGAAAGCGCTGTATAAATAATTAAGTAAAATGCCCAATATTCTGTGTATAAATCAATTAATCATTGTTACTAGCAATTAATTAAACAAACAAAACGAAAACTAGTAAGAAAATCTAGAGAAAACCGCACAAATCTCGGGGCACAGCTGATTTGAGTGCACACAGAACACACAACACTCACAGCAGTCGGCTGCGGGTCGCTGCTCCTCTCTCGCTTGTTCTCGCTGCTCAGTTCTCAGTCGTTCAATGCATGCTGCTGGCAGCTGTACGATCATCGGCATCGTCGTTGTCGATCGATTGAGTGGCGGGCATTCCAGTGCAAGCCAGTAATAAGCTGTAGCAGCCAACGCTCAACGCGGAACGAGGAAGCCACATCCCATCAGAGCAGCCATGGATCCCAACCAGAGTGCAGTGATTGCGGGTGAGTGCGTGCCCAGATAAGCAGACGACAAGGTCTGCTATCTAGCAGCAGCCCTTGTCTGGGATAAGCTGAAAGATCTCCGCGGAGTGGCAGCTCAGCTCTGGCCTGGCCAACATGCCCATCTTTGTGAGCCCTTGCAGGCTGCGTGCGATCAGCAAGTACTATGCCCACCAGGAACAGAGCGGCCGCGACAAGCTGGCCCACTTGGCTAATCAGTTGAACACTTTTATCTTGGCTAAGCTCCGTCATGTGTTGTTTGCTCTATATTTCGCTATGATAGCATTGCGACACAACCCAGAGGACAGCGCCAACGACAAGAGCTGCCAATACACAACCCGAACCTCAGCACGGTCCCTCTCTCAGGGCACCTATGGAAGCCTGGGCACTGCGGAAGACATCTTTATAGCTTTGGATGTCACTGAATCATCGCCACTGCTGGAAAAAGCAACCCCTGCATTACCCACATTGAATCACACAAAAGACTGCCTCAATTGGCGCTCTGTGTGCTTGCTGCTGATGTGCGTCTGCGCACTGGGACTGGCTGCCTACTTGCTCTGGAGACAAAGTGAGTTTTTATAGCTGAGGCGGCAGATTCTTCTGCACAAATTGTTTGTTGAAATAAATCTGAAAGCGCTGTGAATGCCACGATAAGCCACGATGAATTTTTGGTGGGCAAATGGGCGCGCAGCGGAAGTGGTCGACTGGCGGGGCATGGAAGCTCCCAGCTTCATTGCTGAATTAACACATCGGTCTCCTCTCCTCTCCCTTGCAGCACAACTGCCTGGCCTTGGGTATCGCCTGAGTCTGATCGGGCACGATATCTGGAGCGATAGAGCGATGATTGGAAAGGGCAAGCTGCTGGATCCATTGGCTGTCGTTTCTGTTTACTTTACACACACGGAGAGTGAAGGCTGCACCGAGGATTGCCTGGAGCTGCTGCACAGACTGCAGGTGAGTTTATCCCATTGGAAATCACATTTAAGTTACACTTTTGCCATTCCCCCCCAGCAGCAGCAACGTCCGGAGGAGCTGCCGTACAACTTTCTCATAGCTGGGGATTGCCAGGCCTTTGAGGCACGCGGCTGGCAGTATGAGAGTAACTACGAGGAGCTACCACAAGCCACGTCCCTGGTGGTGGCCTTTGTGGGCAACTTTAGCCAGCGGCCTCCCAGTGTTTGTCAGCTGCAGACAGCCCAAGCACTGCTGTTGGAATCCCTCAAGAGGCGCAGGATCCAACCGGAATACATACTCCATGTGGTGGGCCAGGCGGAGGCAGTGCAGCAGCAGCTACAGCGCTGGCCGCGCTACGCTGGAGGAGAAGTCGAGTGAGCAGACAGCCCACTGATTCGATTCCAAGTGATTCCTTCTCGTTTATTGTACGCCAAAAGACACAATTACTGGGAGTATACAAAAGAAGCGCTGGTTGAGTAAAGCGGGGTGTGCCACCGAAAAGCAAGGCGAAGATCCTCCAATGAGGATCGGCAAAGCAATGCGCTGCGTGAACGGATGATGCCTAAGACTACGAAAACTACAAACTAGAGCTGTGGTGGGCGAGGTGTATCTAGCAGCTAATCAAACTCCAACTTCCGAAAGCTGCCCTCAATGGACTCGATCTGTGAGACGAAATTCGGCCCGTTGCCGCTCTTCTCGGAGTTGAAGCTGCTGCGCCGTTGGATGCCGCGATCGGAGAGCAGAGTGCACTTGTCCAGGCCCAGCACCAGGTCCCGCTTGGCGGCCAGTTCCTGCTTCCACAGTGCGATCATCTCGCGCATGGGCATGGTGCCGCCCATCTCCAGGGGCAGGCAACCGGCATCGACGGCCTTCATCAGCTCCTTCTCGCTGCCGTAGATGATGAGGCGGTTTTTCATCTTGGAGCTGACGCGATTCTTCACAAAGTCTATGAGCCACTTCAGCGTGGAGGGCACATTGATCAGGTGGATCTCCTTGTGGCGCATCGGCAGCGACTGTTCGCCCCACTTGAAGATGCGCGCAAACTCCGTGGGATTCCAGTTGGTCACGTGCGCTGTGGAGACGCCCGAGAAGTCCCCCACATGCGACAGTCCTGTGATCTGTGTCTCCTGATCCTCCATCAGGCACTCGTAGGTCAGGAAGTGGGCCTTCGCCTGGTCCGCGGCTGTGTGCACCTTTGGATTCAGTCCTTTGGCATTGATGATCACCACCCGCCGGCCGTGCTTGTCCCGCTGCGGCACTGCGAATATGTACCCCTGATCGATGAGATCTCCCAGTCGCGGCTCCATATAATCCAGCTGCGTGCTCATGTGCGGGAAGGTGCGTCTGATGTTGAGGTACTTGAGCATCGTCTGCTCCGCCATCGGCACGCTGAACTTCTTGGCGCGCAGGAAGCGCAGCAGGAACGTGTCATCGCAGCGCACATTCTGCAGATCCTCATTCTTCATCACCCAGTTCCTCAGCTGCTCCAGGCTCTGCTCCCGCGTGCATCGATCCTCGCGCAGCTCCCGCTTGGCGATCTTCAGCAGCGACTCGGGCAGCTCCAGCACCGTGGACTCTCCTTGGTCCTGCATCAGTTTGGTTTCCTTCATCTCTCTATCGTGTTTGGACTGAGTCTTAAGTTGTTGTTGAAGTCAAACTCTGTACATGGATTGTGGCAGCTGAAAGGTTGGCAAATAAAAGGCAATTTTTAAATTAAATTAAATCAAAGAATTTCCCTGCTTAATCATCAGTCAACTGGTGGCAGCTAATTAATTCTTTATGGCAGCAAAACAGTCATTCCATTCATTCATTCGGTTTTAATTCCATGACAATGCCCATTAAAAGGGCAAACTAAAAATTAGTTCAAGGTCCCAGCGAGATCTCAAGGCGAAACCCTCCGATCACGATTCGCTGTAATTTGCAAATATTTGCTAATTAAAGCACACAAGAGACAGCAGCCCAAACCCAAACCGAACTAAATGCAAATGCACAGACAATATACTCGTGGAGATACAAAAATATTTTTTTTTAAAGCGGCATATATTATTTTCTCGCCTGTGTCTGGCGCGAGTTTCTTTGGCTTTTTCGGCTATTAAAATGGCTGGCATTATGGCCAAATACAATGGAGTTGGTCCAAAACGAAACCTCAACTGCAAATTGGTTCAAGTTCAAAATTGTTTACCGAAAGCGGGTCACAAGTATTGAACATGGAAAAGAGATATTCATGCGAGTGTAAGACATAAATAATTAGCCACAAGAAAGAGTTTGTACTGTTTGTCTGTTGCACAATCTCCAGAGACAACACAGAGAGAAAGATGTTGTAAATGGAAATGGTGGGGTGTAGGGCTTCTGCCCCCGTTTTGAGTGATTTCTGTTTGAGTCGCACAAACACACATCCAACCATTCATCCAACAAAACATTCAACTCAATCATCATAATACATGTTTGTATATTTGCACACAAATTGTGATTCGACTTTCGGCTTGTTTTGACTCTGCTCTGAGTATATTTGCCCTGTTGCCCTGTTGCCCTCTTGCTCTCGCCTGCTGCCCTTTTGTGTTTCTGTCCAAAAATTTCATTTTCCCATGGCGACCCGACAAAATGCAAATTGGTTCGTTTCGTTGCAGAGGCTGTGCCATTTAATTGATTTGTTATTTTTGGGTATACCCATCCAGAGATACCAGGGACTGTTTTGGTGTGTGTAAATTTGCATTTGCTTTCGGGTTCGGGTTCGGTTTCGGTTTCGGTTTTGGTTCGAAGTTTGTCGCTTTTCAGTTTTCAGTTTGCGCTTCTCGTGTTCGCCGCCTTTGCGCTTTTCGTTTTCCCTCCAACTGGAAATGTGATTTCAAAATGTCATTGAGCAATGCAATGGCGGATCCAACTTGGAACCCTCTCTCGGATCACACTCGGAGGCTTGCTATCTATCTCTTTCTTTGCTGGCTGTTTCAACATTTGTATTAGAGGCTCTTGAGGCTCTCGGCGGCTCGTGTGCGGTTGCTTTTGTGGTGTGCCTAACGGGCTAATAATGCAACAGGCTCTGCCAATCGTCGTTTATTTTATTTGATGATTCTCTCTCTCTCTCATTGCAATTTTCCCGATTTCTTGATTGTCGATTGATTTATTGAATGGCTTGACTGCTTGTTTGTTTGTTGATTAACTTTATGTGCAAATTTTTAATTAGTTGATAGGAAAAAGGTTTCACAAGGTTTGAGTTTTACGCAGGAAAGCAAATTTAAATGCTTCCACAACTTATGACAATTATTTGCAGTTAAGAATTGCTAAATCCTTTGCAAATCTAGCTCCTGGCAGCTCTCTTCTTATCACAATCACTGGAACACACTTACACACCTGTGCTGAATCCTTTTTGTCTACAAATTTTGTGTCGCCCGTTTTACGCTGCGTCTGCGCAATGCTCAGCGCCCGTGTATAGATCCTTGATTGTATAGTTTGCTTCCTTTATTGGCTAGTTTATTTATGCTGCTGCTCTAATAATCTCGCAAAAGACAACGCGCCACAGAAAAAAACTTCAACGTCCAAACAGCGCGAGGTCCAAATAACGAATGACGTCCACTGTCGGAGGCTTCGGGCAAGCAAAACAACGAAGCCAGCACAAAAATTGTTAAAGAAATTAACTGGATTATATAATGCCCACAGCACACACACACACACAGAGACACACATACAGGTGTATACCACTCAAACCGAAAGCTTGAGCTATAGCGGGGGGGATTCGAATGCAATCTGATCGGTTTACTGTTGGTAAATGCTGCCGCTTGGTGTTGCTGCTGCTGCTGCTGCTGCTGCTGCCCGCTGCATGGCGTGAACAAGTTTTTGTTTTTATTTTTGGATAGCCCGAAACCGAAAGTGCGACGCTTCGTCTAAAGTACACGAACCTTTAGCCAGGCGGACAGGCGGCAGCCTCCAAGCCTGCGTTCCCAGCCATCAAAGGTAGCCATAAAAGTATTAAAGACTTACGGCTGCCACTGCCACTGCTGCTGCTGCTCAGCTGCTGCTGCCTCTGCGACTGCCACTGCTCAGCTGTTAAGCAATCCCAAAGAGGAGGCATTGAGGCACCACTGAGCAAGTGAGTCAGTCAGTTGGTCAGCAAAATGGACTGTAAATCAGGTTCGCTAGCGGTTCATTTTCTCTACTTTTCTCCGTCTCTTTTCTCTCTCTTTGCACTTTGCCTTTTCATGCCTACCAAATGCGAGTATGAAGCTGCTCAAACCAAGTGCCCTGAGCTGATGATTGGGGTTTATTGATTACTCGCCGGGTACATGAAATGCAAATTTGCATTTTCATGGCATCCAAGCGGCAGCCCCAGTTGGCAGTGCAGCGGGGAATGGAATGGTATACAACCTTGAAAATGCAATATCCAATGCCCGCTCCTTCATTGATGGTAATGATGGTGTCGCTATTACTATTAGACAGACAAATACCTAATGATACAGCGAGCCACCACTCGATCCGATCCGAGATACGTCATCTGTGGCTGGGTCTCCAGTTGGAATGCGAGACATTCCCAATCTTGATGGAGTGGACTGCAGTTAACAGATGTTGGATGTTGTTTACGGGTGAAAAGCAGTGAAACTTTTCTTGTTTTGTCTTGTCTTGTTTTCAGGGCCGTGTTCCGCGTTGCCCAATGGGCAATGGGCGAAGGGCGTGGGTCTGTCTTTTTTATTGATTGTCTGTCTGATGCATTCATTGCAGTCATCTGCATGTTAATTTAATGATTCGTTTCCGCAGGAGGAGGCGGAGATACGCCCAAAGTGCTAAGTAACTCATTAGCCCTCATTGTGACGATGATAATTATGTGACTTTGCTCAACATTTGACGCTGATTGAAGGGCGCCGCAAAAGCGCGTGGGCAATCCTTCAGCTTGCAGTTGGAAATCCTGCCCAACCTTCGCCAATGTAATTGACCCACTCCCAGTCCACATTTTATACATATTTTAGCTGCCATTATAACCGCTCCACCCAGCTCTGTGATCTGTTGGGGGGATCTCTCTGTGTGTGTGGGTAATGCCTGTAATGTGCTCACTCATCGTTGGCACGTTTTTAATTTTTTTCCTTTACGTACATTTACAATTATATTTTGTTGGTCTTTTTCTCCGGCTTGCCGCATAACGAGTTTTTCAACACTGAGAGAGGGAGAGCGAGCGAGAGATGCCCCAACCACAGGCAGTTGTCTGCGGCTGTGTTGTGTCTGTGTTGGTTTGCGTCCAATTGCTCCACATCAGCCATCAGCTGGTAGCTGGTGGCCCATAAAGATGCCGCCAGCAACCGCTCTGCCACCTTTCAATGTGAACAATAATAATTTTTAATAAACACATTACACGGCGCGAAGCAGCCGCAGAAAACAATTGGCAACAATGTCTGAGAGCAGTTGGTGGTGTGGGGAGTGGGAAGAGCGGATGGTTAGCCCCTCATGTTGAGTAAATCTGACGGGGGGAAACCTTTTTCGAAATGCCATTACAAGCGAAATGCCCCGATACCATGACTGAATGGAATCACTGCCCACGAGATTTCTGTTTGTGTTCGTTTTTCTGCGTTTCTGTTTGCTTCGTGATTTTGGTCTTGGCCATAATTAACGACAAAGAAATTCAACCGCTGTGCCGCGGCTTAATTATTGAAATTTCGAAAATGACCCAAACATCCCATGTTCTATTATGTTTTCGCGGATGATTCTTGGCTGTGCGTGGCTTCTGGCCATGCCAAAATCTCACAGCTTGACCCGCGTCCGCCTCTTGATCATAAATAATTTGCATATCATTTTGTTTATATTTTCCTTTTTTGGTGATTTACGCAGAACATAATTTATCATTTCAACAACGCTTTTAAGGGCATCGATGTGGGGGATGTACATACATCTCTGACTATTTGCCAATGACGCAGTTTTGAACGCTGCCAAGACGCACTTCTGTGAGTGGCACTGAGCAAACATTTTCTTGACTTACTTTTAGTCTTATGTTTGTGTAAAGATTTCGCCACTGGTTAATTATAATGACACAATATGATGTCGCTGCTCTTGAGGCTGCACTCGCCGACGACCATTGTCGTAAATACCAGGGTAATATAATTGCAGGAGACTCGACTGGTTAACTGGAGCTGGTTTGGTACCTACCTCGGCTTTGATTTGTCCACCAAATGTCGTATTTCCGTTGGATTATTAGCTGCCAAACTCGCGAAACTGCTTTGGAAACGTCTGAAACGCGCAAAGGTTCAACGCAGAATCAAACAAGACACTCAACTGATCAACTTGTGGAAACAAAAATCTGGTTTGAAGGAGCTTTGATAGCGCGCGCAAGTCTAAGAACACATTTAATGGCTGTATTTTTATGGCTCACAATGAAATAAAGTAAATAAATCAACATAAAGCTAGAATTCGACCATACTTAGACTCTAATTGATTAAATCTTGTTTTATTAAACAGTTTGCTCAGATCTGTAGTTAGTTTGAATTCAAAAAGCGATAGGGGAACCAGCTTTTCTTATCGATATTCAAGCACCATGTGTCGAGGTGACCATGGTAGGTTTTCAGTCAAAATACTATTTCATATCTGATCGACGTCGATCGCTGATGTTGGTTTTTTGCAACACTGCAAAGGGTATATTTGGTATATATACGACGGTCTATCGGTATATTTGATCAATCATTCCGCGGTCACACTAAAGAACAGTTATTCGCGCACATGTTTTAATTTCTTTTTTGTTTGTTTTTATTATACAAAATGCATATAAATACGTATACAATTAGTGAATTCCAATAAAAACTATCTACCCAAGGGTTTATCAATGCACCTACAGTAAGTGCCGGCAGTTCGGATGCATTCTTTGTACTCAATCGCTGCATTCAAAACATTCGCGGGCTACTACGCAGTACGCAGCACCCCACTCAATCCCTACCCGCACCACTCTTCAACTAGTATTAACATTTAATCCGCTGCTGGCCCATTCAGAGTGGCCTGTCTGTCTGTCTGGTGCAGCTGCCACTCCACCAAATAACCAAATAAAAACGTGCAAAATAATAATCACTGGCATGTTCTGTTTGCATATTGCATATTTTTTTGCACTTTTTTAATCATAAAATCATTTCATAAAAATGATTTGAGCACATTCCTTTTATTTGTTTGTGTGTTCGCTTACATGAGTACCCGCACCCCAGTCCCCAGTCCCCAATCCCCAATCCCTATGCCAATACTGCCAACTGCCCAGCCGTGACCACAGGTCCGCCCACGCCGCTCGGTGGCTGATTTTATTATCAATTTTCATAAAATTTTTTGCAAATTTTTGTAGCACCTGGCGGACAGATGGATCGGCAGCGACATCAGCCCAGGCCCAGGCCCAGTCCCAGTCCCAGGCTCAAGCCCATTCATTGGTAGCCACGTCAACCGTCAGCACAGCCAATTACGCAAATTAAACAGATTGTTATCCTGTCCAGACAGGACCACATCCCGCATCCCACAACTCTTCGCGACCCCGGACAATATGACAAGCCAGGCGGCTTAATTCAATCAACGTGACATAATTACTTAATTAATTAAGTGCGCCCAACGGTCACACATTCAAATCGGCCATCATGTTGCGAAAATCATTCAGCGAGCCGTACATTTCAAAGTCCCCGCCACCACCGCCGCCGCCACTGCCACTGCCACTGCCATACACCTGTGCCTGTGTCTGGGCGTGGGAACGCACGTGCGCCGGCCGGGGCAACGTAAGCGGCACGGGCAGCAGCTCCGGCATCACCGAGTGATGGGTGATCAGGGCTTTCAGCGAACTAAACTCCTTGGTAAAGCCCTGCAGGTAAGAGATTAACATAATTAGACCTCTATTGGAATGCTTTTCATACGCACCTTGATTTTGTAGCCCCGCTGTGTCCTGAGGATCAGATAGTGGGCCACTCGCGGTGATGGCGGCGGCACACGCAGCGACAGAGCAAAGCAGCCTGGCTTGGTGCTGCTCTGACGCACCAGAAAGGCGCCGGGACTCTGGCGGGAGAGCACCTCCAGTGAGATCTCGCGCGGAATGCCCGCCTGAAACCAGGCGGCACCCTTAAGCTCCTGCTGCTCAGCCAGACTGAGATTATCCAGACGCAGCGATCCATTGGTGGCAAACAGTTTCGGACTGGAATTAGCTGCAGATTTGTGCAGGGGTAAGTGAAACTTTTGGTTACTATTTCCGTTTGGCCCCCAGGTGTGTGTGTGTGGGAACCGCACTTACCGCTGCATGTCTCTCGCAAATACTTCTTGTTGTTGGGCAGCTCCACCTGCAGGCGCTGGGTGGCCGATTCCAGGGCGGTGAGCGATTGGCGACACGAGTCACCAAATTTGCTGGCCACATACTTGTCCGGCTCGCAGATGGCCTCGTTCACATAGCCATCCGAAATGGTCTGCGATGAGCCCGAGTTCAGGGACGAGCCGCATGTGTTGTGCACCAGTGGGCGGCTGTCCTCGGTGCCCCTGAGCAGGCCAATGCCCATGGTAAGTCGCTTCACCTGCCACCAGATAGAGTAGGAAGAAATGAAAGGATTGGTTCGTGGGTTAGTCGGTTGGTTGGTTGGCCAAATGCTACATTTTGCATGTTGCATGTTGTCTGACAATTTGGCAAAAGTTTTCGCATTGCTATAATGGCAATTTGGGATTGTTGTCTGACCAATATCAAAGCAGAGCACAGAGCAGAACAGGTGCACCGTCATTTGGGGATTGTTTAGTTGCTGTAGTTGTGCTTTTCACCCCGACAACTAGCATTCCCCTTCCCGTATTTAAATCCCCCCACAAAACCAGGAAACATCAAACACACTTTGGCTCTCACAAACCAGAACCGCAACATGCTACCAGCCCCGCTCTCTCCATCCCCCCCACAGATTGATGTGTAAAATTTTTGGTTACCAATAAAATGTTAACCAGTGTCTGCCACGCCCACTCCCAACCCACTCTCCAGCCTTACTGCCATTCCGCCCCTCCCATTTTGTTGGCTTCTGCGGAAAATTACTTTGAAATGAGTTTTGAGCCTGAATTGAAAGTTTTCTGCCATTGGCGTTGGCTTCCTGCCTTACCCCGCCCGTCTGCCTTCTGTGGGGCTTCGCCGCTTAAATTGTTTCCCATTGCGTTTTGTAATTAGCGGCCGCATCCAAAGTGGAGCCAGTTATCCTTCGACATGGCTCTCACCCTCTCACCCTCTCTAATTTGTGATAATTATGTTGATTTTATAGAGATGAAAGTGAAGTTTACTTAATAATGTGGTCAGCCAACAAAGGCTTAAATATTATCTGAATTTAATTCTGAACAACTTGTACGTAGTGCAAGGAGTCCTTGGGCTGCGCATTGAAGCAATTTTGCAATTGCAATTCATTGGCTAATTAAATTGGCACATTGGCAGCGGCGTCGGGCGGCACTTGGCTCTGTCATTAAGTATGCAATCAGAGCCTCCTTTCTGCAGAGAATGTCCTAATGCCCCCATTATGCTAATGACATTGGAAAGGACCCACGCATTATGCAAATCCTGTTGGGGCAGGGCAAGACAATGCAAGAAGTGCCACTTGCCAGACGCTCCAGCGGGCGCTTCAAGCTCCGAGAACTCTCGATGCTCGACAAATCCCCCAACTATAAAGAATGCAACGGATGGGTGTGGGTGTTGGGTATTGGGTGTGGCTGTGGCTGTGGCTGTGGCTGTGGGTGGCAGGCAAGGTATGCCTAGACAATGGCACAATAGACGTGTCTAAGTTGAGAGCTGAACATTTAGAGCACTCTGGCATTTGATTTTCCCATTCCCATTCTCCATTCTCCAATCTCCGTTCTCTGTTCTCCTTTCTCTTTATTTCTCCTTTTTGCTCCCTGGTGCTTCGTTATCTGTGGAAAACTTTCCACGTTGCCTACTTCCAAGCGCCGCCAGACAAAAGTTTCCCATTGTCCGTCCGTCCCTTGGGTAGGGGATCTCTCTCTTTCACTCTCTTAGGCCTACGTACACGGTACAAGGAGAAGAACACGTGACAGCAATGTGGCTGTCGGATGCATTTGCCTTGCTGCTGCTGTTGTTGTTGCTGCTGCTGCTACTGCGATTTATGTGTCATAAAGTCAGTAAGTTAACGGCATTTGGCTGCCATTTGCCAGACATCTAGCATTGTTCGCCCACTACCTTTATGTGTCGCTCTCTTTATGTACTTTAGAGATGCACTGCGCGAAAAATAGAGTGAGTTTTATTCCCTCACTTGGTTTAATTTGATTGAAAACTGTGGGAAGCAAACTCCGTTCCAATTAACTTTCATTATAAAATTATAAAAATCCATTTATTTCCTCTACGATCTTACTCTGTAACTCCCACTAACTCGGTTCATTTCTCTCAGTGTGCCACTGCTGACTTCCTTCGACTTCCCTTAGTTGGTTGCAACTAAGTGCTGCAGCTGCAGCTCAACTTGGCTCTGCTAACGGCGCGTGCCAAAGTGCCGTTAGTTGGAAAATTTGCATTTGTGCAAATTAATTTAATGAACTTTTTTTTTTTGTTTTTGGGGCAGCTTGTTTAGTGGCAAACACTCTTAAGTCTTCAGTCTCCGCTCTCCTCAAGCCTCGAGTGGGTCCACTACATGAAAAGCTGTTGAGGGGAAAATTGCATTTGATTGCGATTCAGATTCAAGCAGTGCAATTTCCCTCAAGTGCCTCAAATTGCTATAGCACAAGCGAAAGAGAGAGAGAGAGAGAGAGAGAGAGAGAGAGAGAGAGACAAGTCAACAGTTAATTTCTATGGCAGGACAAAACAGCCAAAGTATGCCAAAGGATTTTCCCTGCATTCTTTGTTGCTCAATTTTAATCATTTCTCATTGCTGAAATTCTGTTGATGTTGTCTCAATTTGTCCTCATCCTTTTGTTGGTTTCCACTTAGTCATTTGCAGTGCCTTGCCGTTTTGCCGGCATTAAGTGCATCCCCAGCTAATGCTTCAATGGATTTCCGGATCCTCTTCCCCGTGCCTGGAAATTCCACCAATGTAAGCAGATTTATGCTCTCTCTCTCTGTGCAAAGTAATTCGCAAGCAATGAAAAAAAAAAGAATCATCCACAAAGAAACGAACAAAAAATGATTGCTCCCAAAGGCAGGTCCTGCCTGCTACTACCTCTACTAGGCTAATAGTTAATATTAACAACAACCAAAAGAAGGCAAAAAGATTGATAAAGGAGCAGGAATGTGGGAGGAGTTGGGCTTTGCTGGTCTGTGGACTTACCAGCGGCGGTTTATCAACCAAACGACGGCAATTATTCATTTCTGTGGGTGAATTATCCTCCTCGGAGCTGGGGGAGCGCGGCAGTTGCAGCTGATGCTGGTGCTCCTGCTCGGGCAGCTCTTGGGCATTGTGGTGGCTGTGCACCAGCTGCAGCTGCTCCACGTGGCGTCTCGGATGGTGCGGATGCGGATGCGAGTGCGTGTGCTGCTGTTGTTGCTGCTGCTGCGGGCGTGGATGCTGGTGCGGATGATGATGATGATGGAAATAATGCTGCGGAGATGTATTCACTGTGTTCGTTCCTGTCCCTGCTCCAGCAGCTGCCTCACTGTGTTGCGAGTTAGCAAACGATTTCCTCAGAATTAATGGATGCAAAAGAAAAAGTTAGGGAAAAATGTTCTTCTTACCTGAAGATCTGCTCGGCGGCAATAGGCGACTTCTGGGCCGTCTCAATCAGCGTGGTCTCAGCCGTGTTCGATGAGGATGATGTGGAGGAGGAGGCTGAGGACGAGGACGATGTGAATGTGGCTGTGACTGTACTGAGCTGCGGTTCCAGGCGTAGCCTTATATCCTGCATGGCCATGAAATATGGGGAACCACTCCTGAAATATGTATGTTTAGATTTTCGGATGTATATCCCTGCGCTGCTGCTGTGGCCGCCTGCCCGAACCCTTTAGCGCATCTGTGGGGCAAAGAGAGGTGTGTGCGTGAGTGGCTTGTTAAAAGTTCCTGCCACACTTGAGAACCCTTTCACACACAAAAATATGAAACTTTTCTTCGTAGCTCTTAAGAAGGCGAGCAACTTTTACCCGACCCCTCTCGGTCACTTCTGGACCTTATGGTAATGCTCTGAGCCCTGCGCTCTCTGCTCTGGTCTCGTATCCATTCTTTTCCTGCTGATGATGATTTCTTGACTTATTTTTTTACAGCAGCATTTTTGCCTTCTTGAGAACTGAGAACTGAGCACTGAAAACTTTTGCTTTAAGCAGCTTCCAAGGCCCTACTTCCAAGGCTGGTCCTTGTTTAAGGCTTTAAGCCTTTACCGACGGCAAAACTTTTTCAACCCACAAGTCCTTGCTTATTGAATCTCTCTCTATGGATCCCTACATGTAGTGTAGTGCAGTGTAGTGTCTGTGTCTATGTCTGTGTTTGCGCTGTGTGCGGTTCTTGGTAGGAAACTTTTAATGCGATTTTAAGCCTTTTGCTATTAGTTTGCAAATTGTTTCCAGATTTTAAGCATATTAATTTTTAAAGCTTTTTCCTTCAGTGGTTTTTTGGGTCTTTTGGTTTTTGCGGCTTTCCAGCCAAGTGTCTCTTAATTGAAAGCCGAATGTGGGTTAAGGTTGATAAAGGAAGAAAGAGCAAGAGAAGACGAAGACGAAGACTGAAAAGCAGGCCTTAACTTTGCCCGAAGGTTTCCTCTTGCTCGCTCTTTCTTTTGTTCCGTCCTCTTGTTCGGCTTTGTTGCCGCATCACTTTACCTACATTCAACGGCGCCGCGAACAATGCAAAACGAAGATCTCCAGCAGCAGCAGCAGCAGACAAAGGCGGTGCATGCAACAAAAGAACTGCCTGCCAACATTGAAAATAAGGAAAGACGAGTGCAAAAGGCAAGGAAAATCATTGTGCAAAAGTGTAAGAAAAGCAGGCAAAGCTGCAACTGCAACTGCAACTGCAGGCGTAATGTCGACAGTTGTTTTGATGCGATGTTCTGACGCTGTTCTGCATCTGCATTTAACAAGTATACGCCATGCTGGCCGGGCATTAATTTAGCCAAAGCGAAGAACTGTGAAAGTCACAAATGTGCTGACATTTGCTGGCACTCCATGTAAAGTTCTGGCAAGTGTCAAAACGACAACAAGCAGACTGAGAACTTTGTGTCTGGCTACGGGTTGGGGCCCGCCACGATGTCTCACATGTTAATTTAGCTTGTCATACACACAATGCATCAAACAACATGTTGCACATGCTGTACGTACAGCACTAATAAGCTGCAAATGGTCGTAGATGTGCAGACAACCATAGCATACACTTGTGGGTCCAAAAGATGGGATTAGTGCTCTGCCCGAGATGGAAATAGTTCCTTAACCTTTTGCAGAAAGAGAGTCAAAAGACAGAGGCAACGACGGGGAGCAGCCACAGTCGTCGAGTCTTTCTGTTTTTTCAAATCGACTTAAAGTTTAGCTCAATAAATTTGTGAGAAAAAAGTTTCCCATTTTATTGCTATTTGTTTCGGTGGTGAGCAAAAGTTCTTTTTATCTGTTCAAGCAAACAGGAAAATGCATTGAGAATTACACGAGAAATAGGAATAAGAACTGCAAAAAGGAGACCCTAGCTTAAAGTTGAACTTTTCTTTTGCCCTATAATAGTTTTTCCAGCACTTTAAATTCCCACCCAAATCTTTCGCTCTTTCTCTGTAGTTTGACATGAAATTTACCTTTATGTAGTGTCTGTCTGTGGCTGTGGCTGTGTCTGTGTCTGTCTGTCTGTCGCTTTCTATTATTCTGTCTGGCACCAGCAAACGCGAGTATGACAACCTTCATATCCGCCCATATCCCATATCCCATAGCCCATATCCCATATGCCACATGCCATTTCCTTTGTGCTTGTATCCTCGAACAAGTTCTTATGAACTCTACTCCCCTTGCACATTTGCTTGTTAGTTTATTGAAATTGATATTATGGTTATCCCCGTGGCCAACTCGTGTCTTGTCAGTCTCTCAGTTTCTCTCTCCCTTTGGCCCGTTTATTTCTATTTTCATGTGAGATTTTGTTACCAAATTCATTGTTAAATCGTTTGGAATTGTTTCCTTTTCGGGCTGCAGCAAACTCGAAGCAACTCTCAGACCGACTTGATTGTCATATATGAAGTGTTTCTGTCTCATGTTTGCCGCTGTGGCATGTTTCCCACAACCCCCCAGGAACTCTCCTTCGTGTTTCTGGTTCTGGCTCTCATATTTTTCGGTCTTTATCGCTTTAATGCGAGAAACTTCAGCGTCGTTGTGGCTTATGGACTCGCTGACAAAGTCTTTAAAGCGCTTATGTCAATCAATGAGCACTGCAACAGTGCAACATGCAGCCAAAACGGATGTGGTTGCAGCAAAATAACAACAATAGCAATCACAAACGAATGTCACAGCAGTCTTTGAGTCTTTGAACCTGGGTGGGCTCTGACTCTGACTCTGACTCTGACTCTGGGGGCCAACATGTGAATTGTGGTAATATGAATACCCCGACAGACGGCAGGCAGGCAAGAGAGCGCTGGTGCTGGTGGTGGCCTCTGAAGAGCGAGAAGTAACGGTGCAAATGTTGTAGGTGCGCCCGTGGGGCAACAATGAGGCAAGACAATATTTAAAAGACACTCGACAATGGCAACAAGCCATCCGAATGCCTGCAATGAGACTAAAACGAGGTCTCAGAGTGAGGGCAGGGCAGGGCAGGGCACACTGTGGCAGAAGGCACGACAAAACAATACCCGCATGGCCGGTGTAACTATCTGTCTATCCTATCCCCCTTGTTGGGGCGCCACAAACCTATCAGAAAATTTATGTAGCCATCAAAGCGAATGGAGATGGGAAATGGGTATCGGGTGCTGGAGTGCTGGAGTGCTGGGGTGCTGTGGTTTCTGTTGCAGCGTGTGGCAGCCACGAATGCCGTTCAATTATGAATTATGCCAACAATTTCATTTGACATGTTTGCAGTTGGAGCTGGCCTCATCCTGCCAGCAGCAGCAACCAGCTCCTGCCTGCCTGCCACCTTCTCGCAACTGCTCCTCCTCTTCCACTAATTAAATGCAGCTCTGTGGGGTCGATTTGTTGCGCTAATGCGCCTCTCGTAATTACACGAGAAATGGCGACAACGGCGACAACAACGACAACGTTCGTGGCAGCGGCGGCGGCGGCGGCAACATTCCAAGACATTTTAACTCATGCGCGAGAGAACGTTGCGTGTGTCAATTCAACAGTGAGAAATGCTTTGTAACCGTGCTGCAGGAGGAGTAGGAGTTGGAGAAGGAGAGCTCAGCCATTGGAGACCATTCGATGGTGTCCAAGAACGCTCTAGAGGCGCAGGCACACGGGCCTAGGCTCCTTGGCGTCGTGTCTATGTCCACATTTGGCATGTGCAACAGCTACAGCAACAACAATGGCTTCTTTGTTGTGGCAAAAGCTCCTTGTTGGCGTCGGCATTGCCTGCAATTGTACATTGACACCTCCTCTTGGCTCTTGGCTGCTTGCGCTGCTGGTCTGCTTTTTGTAATATACTCTTTGTCGAGGATATTATAGATTTGCGCAGGGGATTGGATACATTTAACTATATTTGATGGGAACATCTAACTACGGCTAACAATTCTCTAAGACTGCCAAGCGGAGAACTCTTGAATGAATGCTTTAAGGGAAAGATCCTTTTACAAGTCCTTTCCAATTTCGCTTTGCTGTTTGCTTATTAGCATCTGCTGTAGGAACAGTCTTACCTAGAAGAATTATCATATTTATAAACAGGTTCCACGAAAACATTGAAAGAACACAATCATTTGCAAGAGAATATTTCAAATAATTGATTACTCTAAGTAATAGTTATTCCCTTCTCAATAAACCCTCTCCCCCTTAAGGGTATTTACACCTTCGACTACCCAAGAGATCCTTCATTTTTGCTGCTTTTTTGCTAGGCATTGCTCTGGCGATGTACATGAAATTTATGTCGCCTAAAGTGCAACTCTGACAATGTGAGCTTGTAATTTGTTGTAGTTGTTGTTTATGTTGCTGTTGCTGTTGCTGTTGCTGTGGCTTTTTGCTGCTCTTTTTGTGGCTTTGGTTGTCAGCACTTGGCCATGGCTATTTAATGATTGTGTCGTGCAAATACCAAAAGCAACAAAAACCAGCAAAGAAAACCTTCTTCAACTGCAGAGAGAAAGAAATCCCACTCGGGGGAATAAGCCAAAATCAGATGTTACACAGCAACAGAGTAAATGGTGGGGAAGGGGCTGAGAGGCAATTTGAAGTTGGACAGGTGAAAGGCGACACGGGGTGTGGCAACATCATGCAAATGTCACATGCAATCATAAATGCATATCGACATGCACACAGGACTGTAATAATTTATACAAATATCTGCGGCTTTTGACTCGGCACTTGTCACCTTTTTGGCAGAGAGGAGGAGTTCCCCCCCAAGGACCTCTGTCAGAGAGAGGGAGAGGGAGAGAGCCAGGCATGCCATGCGACAGTTCAATAAAAGTTATGCCACAGATGATGACACAGTTTGCCGACACCAGAAAGGTGCCGTGAATGCGCAATGCAGAACTGCTGAGGGGAAAGAAGGCTCCACGCTCCACTCTCCAGGCTGATGTGCAGATTGAAAAACTTTTACCTCGTTGACTGCGAAAATGAAATATGCTTTCGGAGGCATTTCCAGGCATCATTCTTCATCCTTCGGTTGCCTTTTTTTTCGGCGACAGATGCAAAGTGCAAACAGTATCAAAATCGCTTTCCAAGCTGACTTTTCCCCAATTGCTTTGGGGATTTTCCGGGGCAACTTTTGCCGTCATACCAAAGCAGACAGGATAAAGTAAATGAAGATATTTCTGGATATCAGAATCTGGGGAATGACTTGCAATCGAAGGCAATCATCGGTATGCCAGCGGCAGGCAGGCAGACAGGCACACAGCACACTGGGGCATGCCCCGGG